TCAATGTGGTAAACCGGTAAACCCAAACAAATTACTCAAGATGTTTATGATTGGGTTTACCCATTGAACGTTTTGCTGATAGAGTGATGAGAATCCCCAAATCATCGGCGAGACACATCCACTGCATTTAGCTCGATGGCTGAAAAGAATGCCTTCATGGATTCGTCTTCGAACATCCTGGGCAGCTTGGAAGAGCCATGGAACAGCCATTTTGCACAGCATCACCTATTGCCTATGGCCCACTTTTTGCCAACGGCTGGCATTTGTGACGAATCTTTGGAGGCAGGTGGCACAATGCATGCCACTGCTTGCCATGAGACAACTGCGCGATCAAGTGTGTTTCTCGTACTTAAATGCCTCGGCACTTTCCGATTTAGGTTTGTTTGCTCCCCAATCTCCAGGCCCTTCACGTGCACCATGGTGGGGAAGCCAGGCAGCCGTTCGAACTCGGTGATGGTGATCTGCCCATGCCCGTCAGCGTCCATCTTGCCTTGGACAAACCAGGCAGCTGAATTCCTGAATTCCTGTCCCTTGCATTTCCCTCTCCGCTTCGCTTTCCACGACTTTAGTCTGAATTTTTGGAGCCCAACATGATCAACATGGGTTGCACGTCCATTTTCCATGTCTCCCATGTCGTGCCAAGCTGCTCCAAATCTTTGAGACCAGTTCCTTAAAACGATTCTTGTTTTGGATCAAGGTCTCGTGGTCCCTTTCCTGAGCCAATGTAGCCAATGAGTCTATGACACATTCGTTGTGATTTTGTGAAGACTAAGGTTCCGATTGGGTCTACTACCAACACTGACATCTGTGCAAAATCGTGCAAGTATACTTTTTGTTGTGGTTGTATGAAACATTGCAGCGCGTCAATGCTCACAAGGGGTTCAGATGTAATTGTGGTTCTATATGCCCAACATTTTTGCCCCTTGCTGCGATTGGCCAAAGTTTGGGTGCCGAGGATCTCTTGTCTTGATGGCGCTGTTGACGAAAACCCCAGTCATGACATTCAATACCTGACTGCACATCGGTCATATGCACTGTAAAGCAGCATCATCGCGGCCATCTTCGAAGACTACAAAGCCGGCACATGGCGTTTGAGTTTTCAATAGATGTGTTCTTAAAGGAGTGCGGGCAAAATTTTGCCAGGAGTTGGAATGATGGTTCAAAGGATTTCAAAACGCTTGCCGCGCTCTGTTTCAATGGCCGCTTTTTGCAGAAGACATCGTTGTAGAGTCACCGCAGCTTTGGACCACTCTTTCTGTTACCCCTTTCTCTTGACATTTTTATTTAGATATCTTTCCGTGATTTTTTTTTGACTGTTTCTCTTAAAATCTCTTCTCTGTGACATTTATTTCTCGTGGCAACTCTTTCTGATGCAAGCACTTTCTCTTGGCACCACTTTCTCTTGACCGGAAGCATCGCTTCTCTTGATATTTCTGAATCTTGACATCTCATGCTCTTGACAACTCATCCGCTTGACATCGCTTTTTCTTAAGATCTCTTTCCGTTGATGCTTCTTTGTCTTGCCGTCTGTTTCTGTTAATGCTTTTATCGTGCCACCTCTTTTCCATGGCATCTATTTATTTGTGATGAAATATCTTTCTGTTTCTGTTAAGATTTCTTCTGTTGACAACTCCTTCCTTTGACATCTCTTGTTCTTCGCATCTCTTCGTCTTGACATTTCAGACACACGGGTGCTGCATCTTCGTTGTGCCTCGCCTGCTACAAGCTCTTTCCGCAACAGCTTCACCTCGGTTTGCTCAAGGTATGCCTTTGCATACTCCAGGTATGTGCAGCAGCCTTCTTGGTTCCTCTGCACGATGCGGCTGCATCTCCATCTGAGCACTCTTCGCCTTCTCTCTTTCAGGTGGCACCATTTGGCTCTCAGAAACGTCGTCCTCTCTGGCCTCCTCTCTTTCATACAGTTGGCTCAACCGGCCTCTCCGGAAGGACCTGGACCCGCATTGCTGAGACCAGTATCCTCCATTGCCTGTATGTCACCAGGCACCGTCTCGTCAGACAACACACCTTCAGGTGCAGTGCTTGGAGCGTCAACGTCCATCACCATAGAACTGCCCCTCCAACGGCTCCTCCTCACTACAGGTTGCTCGGTCACCATCGCCAGCTTCACGAATTACACGGTCAGCCATGTCACCCAGCGCAAACGCCGGGCTTTTTTGGGGTCCCAAGCTGAGCCAGTCTCTAGCTGGTTCACATCAGGAAACGGCATGGAAGACTGCCCACACTTCACTTCTGAAGGGACCTTGTCTCTCACTTCACACAACTGTAGAATGGATTGCAAAATGGATTGCTTCACTCAAAAGCTAAGCCACACTCCCAGACCATGCTGTTGTACCAACCTTGGCACAGCACTTTGACTGAGTTCAGCCAAGCCGCCGCAAAGCCACAGAAGGCGATGTAGAGGTGAAAGATCTGTCAGGGCTCCGTGTTCCCATGACAATTGCTCCCACTTCCCTATCTCAACCCACTGGGCACAGCTTAGGAAATGCGGTGACCTTTTTACTTCTGCCTTGATCACCATTGATGCCATCAAGGCTACGCGGCTACGCAGGCTACGCAGGCTACGCAGGCAGCGGCTACACCCCGCCTGCACCCAAAACCAGCCCACCGGGATGAGGGCATCAGCTGCATATTCCCAATCCAATCCACCCAAGATCGATCTGAAAAGCGTCATGACTGACCTCGGAAAGAGCGTGACGGCAACCACAACAAAACCCCATGGAAAACAGGATGAAGTGGTGAAGTGGTGAATCTCAAAGCTCAATTCTCTGTACATCTCTGTGATTCTCTGTAATTCTCTGTAATTCTCTGTAATTCTCTGTACACCTTTTTCTATGAAGGTTCACTTGGCAATTGCCATAGCTCCAACAGCTGGTGTCAAAAAACAAGTGCCAACAGCTTGATGCCAGGCCACGTAAAGACTGTCCCAAAATATTTCATTTGATCCGCATCTGGCCCATTGGAAGCCGAATAGTCCAAGACAGCATCTGTGAAGAGAATTCCTCAGGTGATCCAAAACTGTAGCCAAGAGGGGGCATATGGAAGCAACACAGGCTGAGCCAAAATATCCGGTCAAGAAAAGAGTTCACATCTGGGCTATCCTCAACCCAACTATATAAATTACAGTAGTCTCAGCAGGTCTCAGCAGTGAGTTTGCCAAAAGCGATATACGCCACCTGGCATGCCCTGTGCACATCTGCACATCGTGTCGTATCCTGCCGATGATCCAAAGCTGTATTGTACCAGGCCCAACAGAATCAGCGCCCACAGCAGCTGGCGAGTGGTGTCCACCACAGACATCACCAAAGCACGCAGCGCCTGACACGAGACGTCGAACTCACTGAACTGGAGCCCACCAATATCCCACCAATTTATGGTCCAACAGGAATCAAGAGGAGATATACCTCAGAAACCTCAGAGATACCTCAGACTGCCTGGACATGGTGTTGGTGCAAATATGCTGACCAATGGGAGTCTCACAGTCTCTGGGATCAGAGTGCAAATGCAAAGTGTTCCACACCAACATTCAACATGCACTGGCCATATCTGTCTGGTCCCACTTGCAGTGTTTGGATCAACTAGCACTACAAAATGGCTAGCGTCACAGCAATCACAGCATCTGTTGGCTTCCAGTTCTCCCCATCAACTTTTTACATTTCAAAAAAACCAAGGCACACTGATGAACTTCGCTATCCTCAAGGAGCGAACCACTTGCAAGAGCCTCCACTGGCCCATGCCACGGAGTACAGGGAGTCTGACCATCAAAAGGACTGATGTAATAGTCTGCAATACGCTTAATGCGATTGTATAATTACGGCCAAACACCTCGATTTGCCCGCGTTTGTCGGCGGCCATCTTCGTATGTGCTGAAAACGTGGTAAAAATGGGAGTTTTTTGCATCATGGCTAACTTCATGTTCTATATCCGCACGCACAGCATAGGGACCTGTGCGAGTCTCTTACACATCACCATCATCATCATCATCCTCATCATCAAACCCTTATTGAGGATCTTCAATGAATGTAGAAGTTTAACGAGGGTGGGAGAATTAAGCCCTTATTGAAGATCTTCAATGAATGTAGAAGTTTAACGGGGTAGGAGAATTAAACCCTTATTGAGGATCTTCAATGAATGTAGAAGTGTAACGGGTGTAGGAGAATAAAACCCTTATTGAAGATCTTCAATGAATGTAGAAGTTTAACGGGGGTGGGAGAATTAAACCCATATGGAGGATCTTCAATGAATGTAGAAGTTTAACGAGGGTGGGAGAATTAAACCCTTTTTGAAGATCTTGAATGAATGTAGACGTTTAACGGGGATGGGAGAATTAAACCCTTATTGAAGATCTTCAATGAATGTAGAAGTTTAACGGGGGTGGGAGAATTAAATTCTTATTGAAGATCTTCAATGAATGTAGACGTTTAACGGGGATGGGAGAATTAAACCCTTATTGAAGATCTTCAATGAATGTAGAAGTTTAACGGGGGTGGGAGAATTAAATTCTTATTGAAGATCTTCAATGAATGTAGAAGTTTAACGGGGTAGGAGAATTAAACCCTTTTTGAAGATCTTCAATGAATGCAGAAGTTTAACGGGGGTAGGAGAATTAAACCCTTATTGAAGATCTTCAATGAATGTAGAAGTTTAACGAGGGTGGGAGATTAAACCCATATGGAGGATCTTCAATGAATGTAGAAGTTTAACGGGGTAGGAGAATTAAACCCTTATTGAGGATCTTCAATGAATGTAGAAGTGTAACGGGCGTAGGAGAATTAAACCCTTATTGAAGATCTTCAATGAATGTAAAGTTTAACGGGGATGGGAGAATTAAATTCTGATTGAAGATCTTCAATGAATGTAGACGTTAAACGGGGATGGGAGAATTAAACCCTTATTGAAGATCTTCAATGAATGTAGAAGTTTAACGGGGGTGGCAGAATTAAATTCTTATTGAAGATCTTCAATGAATGTAGAAGTTTAACGGGGGTGGGAAATTTATATTCCCTAAATACCCTTGTTGATCTTCCCAATTGACTGTAAAGTCTAACGGTTGATATCCCCAAGTGTGCAGCATAGAAGGGGTGTGGGCGAATCGGGTTGTTTGCGCGAATAATTACCAATCTGGAAGTCTGCTAGACTGATCTGGACTGGAATCAGGGACCAAAGATTGCCAATCTGCATTTGATGATCACAAAAAAGTGACGAGCTGTTGCTTCAGAAAAAGACTGTACTATTTCACCAAGCACGTGCTAGTAGTAAATCTGACTTGCCTCAAATGCGTAAGTTTCAATTCATCTATCATTTCTTGCCTTACACAACTATCATTCATCATGGCCATCATAGGTGCCATGTTCAGAATTCCAGTCCTCAACACGGCGGCTTCAAGCCATGGAACCACAACTTCTACATCCCTCCCATGCAGGGCTGCAACGCACCCCTGAGGGCCTTGCACCTGGACATCCCGTGCCTCGTAATCTTGAAGATTCGGATGATGCGGAATGTACTGGAAGAGCCACCCTCCATGCCTGCAACAGAACAGTCCTTCCCAACAAAAATAATGCCATGGATAGCGATGAACGGACCGCAAAGAAACTAGTGCTGCCGCACAGAACATGTTGTTGGGTAAGCTTCAACATCAATTTCTCTTGCAAGTCGCGTATAAACACATAAATGCTATATGTAAAATTTTCACATACTGCAAATAATGTGTACATAATTATATATATATATATATATTCAGTCAGTCAGTCAGTCAGTCAGTCAGTAAGTAAGTAAGTAAGCACGTAAGTAAGTAAGTAAGTAAGTAAGTAAGAAAGTAAGTAAGTAAGTAAAAAAGTAAAAAAGTAAGTAAGTAAGCAAGCAAGCAAGTAAGTAAGTAAGTACGTAAGTAAGTAAAGTAAAGTAAAGTAAAGTAAAGTAAAGTAAAGTAAAGTAAGTAAGAAAGTATGTATGTAAGTAAGTAAGTATGTATGCATGCATGCATGTATGTGTGTGTCTGCATGTATGTATGTATGTATGTATGCATGCATGCATGTATGTATGTATGTATATATATATATACAGTATGAGCATAAATGTATATATATATATATGCATATTCAGTATGTATATATTTATAAATATATATATATATATATACAGTATGTGTATATATAAATATATATATATAGAGTATGTGTATATTTATATATATATATTCAGCATGTGTATATATATATATATACATATATATTCAGTATGTGTAAATAAATATATATATATATATATATATTCAGTATCGGTATATAAATATATATATATTCAGATATATATATATATATATATGTATATATTCAGTATGTGCATATATCAATATCATGTGTTTAACCATGTTACATAACTTTATACTAGTGATCTATGGCATCAGATAGCGATCAACCTCCACCTTTCCCCTCAAAAAAAAAATGTGCCTTGCTCGTCCGTCCACAGGTCCAGGGCCAATTCCACCCAAGCAGGGACAACAACCTGGTACATACCATGAGAATCTATAAATATCGACTGTATGATTGATATATGATCGATATAGTATGATCTAAAGGATCAATATGATTCAATATGTGATGTATAATATGATGTGCACATAATCTATACATGTATGTTAGATGTGATCTATATGTGATCTATATGTGATCTGTATGTGATGTGTATGTAAACTATATGACGGACTTTGTAAGGTTGGGGTCGCCTGCCAAATGGGACATAGAAAGGCAGTGTTGGTCTTCCAACAAACGTGAGAGAATGTTGGATCAATGGCAGTAACATAGCCAAGAAATAGCCAGCTGACATTGGCTGTAATATCAAAGATTGAGGCCGAGAGGCTAGAACGTCCAACCAGTTCCACCCTGCACCTGGCATGTCTCCAGGTTTAGACCCAATGTCAGACAATGTCAGACCGGGAGTTCTTGGAGCTTCATGTTGGATCACGAAATCAAAGTACCAGTAGTACCGCACAAGGTGGTGGCGGAAGTTTCAAAAATGGAAAACCTTTAGGAGAGGTGAGTTGGTGTGACGCAAAAATGGCAGAGAGAACCCACTGATGGATTGAAAGGTGGTTGAGTGTTTCTCCCTTTCTGTCTCTCTTTCTCTCTTTCTCTCTGTGTCTCTCTTTCGCCATCTATCTACAGAGCTACCTTTCTAGCCATCTACCTATCTACCTGTCTATTCATGTATCTATCGATCGATTTGTTTTTTCTACCTATCTATTAAACCTATCGTTTGACTGTCGAGATATTTATCTGATCTAAAAGAAAGGAAAAACACTTTTCACGCCCTGGTGTTACTATCTCTCACGAACCAACCGAATCGGACACGGAACCGTCACCAGACCCTAACAATGCAACGCTTTTCGGTCGACACCTAGGACTCAACATGTTTTTGCCGGCGGCCAGAAAGACACACCGACAAGCATTGCGTCATCGACGGATCTGTCAAGCGAAGTGCTGGCAGGCCGGGTGCGGCAACTGAATGCTGCACTGACTCAATGCTGGGTGACTTCTCCCTGGCGGCGTCAACATCAGTGCTTGAAATACGAGGCCTGTAGCAGTCCAATACACACACAAGCATACAGACTGTCCAACCGGCTGTCGCAGCTCAATGCTGCATTGAGTCCAGTCACTCTGGTCGAAAGAAACACATGTGCCTTCTTCATGCCGGCATAAAAATAAGTGCAGCACCCAAAACGGCGGCGACCGTCCGGAAAAAAAAACACACTGTGCTGCCGGGGGCGGCAGCACCATGCACTGCTTTTTGCTCGGCTGCTAAGATTCGAGACATCTTTGCCGGCGGCCGGAAAAAACACACCGACAAGAGTTGCTTCGTCGACGGATCTGTGTAGTGAGGTCACAAACACCGGATGCGGCAACTCAATGCTGCACTGACTCAATGCTGGGTGACTTCCGCATTGCCACGTCAACATACGTGCACGACAAATCGAAATATGAAGCCTGCAGCGGTCCGAGAAAAAAATCCTACCGGGTGTCGCAGCTCAATGCTGCATTGAGTCAAGTCACTCTGCTCAGAAAAAACACAAGTGACTTCTGCACGCCGGCGTACACATCCATGCAATAAATGAGAGGCTGGCAACAGTCAGGAACATCAACATCCATGCTGCGCTGTTTCCAAACCACCTGTGACTTCGTCAGCACGGCGTATGCATGCATGCTACTCATCACATGTTCATAGCGCCTGAAAAGTTACGTGAAGCCAGATCTCTCTGATGCCGTTAACAACGACTAAGCCTATGCGCTAACTCCATCCATGTGTCTCTCTATTTCTGTCGCTATCTATTTCTCTATCTATCTTTCTACCTACCTACCCACCCATCTATCTCTCTATCTTTTTATCTGTCTAGCTACCTACCTACCCATCTATGTCTCTGTCTGTTTTTCTATGTCTCCATCTATCTATCTATCTATCTATCTATCTATCGATCTATCTATCTATCTATCTGTCTATCTGTCCATCTATCTAGTAAACTATCGATCTATCTCCCTATGTGTCTGTCTATGCATCTATTCATCCGTCAAGTTCTCTCTCCACCTGTCCTTCGATCTACCTCTTGACCTGTCGATCAATCTGTCTAACCGCCACGTCGACAACAAAACAATGCTGCTAGACTTCTGTTGGCAACATCAAAAACGAAGCAATTCTGCGAGACTTTCTCACTTTTTGCAGTTGAAAACATCAAAAACGAAGCGATTCTGCGAGACTTTCTTCAAAAATGGAAAGTTGACTGTACAGCTGACGGCCTCGTACCAATGCGTTTTGCGATTTTTCCATGCCGTGTCTCTAAAGTACTGCGCCTGCCACGAAAAAGTTAGTCCAGGTCATACGAAATGCTGCACCTTTCACGAAATAGCATCTTGGCATAGCTGATGATTTGATACGCCAAAAATCGCCAAAATGCAACCCCTCTCAGGAAATCAGCTCCTTGAGCTCCGAACATCTCTGCTGAAGATGCCTCTTGTACTGCGCCTGCCACAAAAAATGCATCTGTGCAGATCCTCTTCAAATCTCCCACGCCTGCCATCGTTTTTGAAAATGCTACAAAACCGTCACGTTTTAGTCACTTTTCAGTGGATACACAATCCACTCCACCTACCACACAAAACGACGTCTGAACGTCAAAAAAGTCTCCGAGACTCTCAGTTTTTAACACTTTTGACTTCGAAATGTGCTTCGCGCCACAACGCCGTGCACTTTTTCGACATCTCAACTTCCAAAAGTGCTCCGAGACCGCCAGTTTTTAACACTTTTGACTTCCAAATGTGCTTCGCGCCACAACGGCGTGCACTTTTTCGACATCTAAACTTCCAAAAGTGCTCCGAGACCCTCAGTTTTTAACACTGTTTACTTCCAAATGTGCTTCGCGCCACAACGCCGTCCACTTTTTCGTCATCTCAACTTCCAAAACTGCTCCGAACCCCTCAGTTTTTAACACATGTTACTTCCAAATGTGCTTTGCGCCACAACGGCGTGCACTTTTTTGACATCTCAACTTCCAAAAGTGGTCCGATCCTGCGGAGCTTTGTACCTTTTCACTTCGAAATCGGCTTCGCGCCACAACGGCGTGCAACTTTTCATCTCTCATCTCCACTCTCCGCACCCGCCGCTTTAGCGAGCCTACTCTTCAACCCTCCGGAGCCACAAAACCACGAAAAAACACAGTGTTTCGCGACTTTCCTACCTTTTCGCGCACCTGCATCTTCCTTCTTCTGATCTTTTCTCTTCTGACTCTTCTCCCTGCTGACTGCTTTTTCATCTCTCCATATTGTCGGAAGTTTGACTTCTAAACTTCCTTCGACAAGATAAAGCAAGATAGCACAAGAAGCTCCAGAATTCACCATCTTTTACAATTTTACAATGCTTTCCAACAACAACTTTTTGCATGTCAAGCCGGTCCGGCCTTTGCCAAAGAGGTAGGTGGACAGACCCATGGCCATAATTCGGATCGTCATCTCCCCGGTGAAAAGGATCCTCAGAGCCATGACCTTCGACCTTCGATCAAATTTTGGTGAGAAAAAGATGGTTGTGGTTGCTTTTTTTAAACGAGTTCATAAACCTTAATAAACCTTTAAAAACTCGGATTCAGCATGTTGGAAGTTGTCAAGAAGCTTCATTGGTCAACTTTTCCACCTGGTGGAATCTCATCCAGAATGGGGTGGCTAAAGTGGACACCTTCGCCATCCAAAATGATAGGACAGCTGCTGAAATCCAAGGGGCGCATAGATCACGTTCACCACTGTTAAGGAGGCAGGGGTCTCGCCTGAAGCCTTCATCTCCAACTGCAGCCCTAAGAACCTCAAGGACCGATGGGACCTGCAAACTGCGACAACGTGGATGATGATTACGCATTTCGCCATGGTGGAAGACAAGAATTCAAAAGAAGTCCATTGCACCAAAGCCCTTGGCCTAAACCCCCCTAACATGGGCATGCCATCATGGCATGCCTATCCTGGAAGCCCATAGTATGCCATAGCAAGCTGCTTCATGTGCGTGTCAGGTTACAAGGAGTTGGACAGGATCACAAAGGCAAAGAAGACGTTGAAAGGTAGCCTGAGATCTGAGATGGTCTGAGATGATCCGAGATCTGAGATCACTGAGGCTGGCCATGTCAAAACACGCAGGGCAGTGCTTCCCTGCTCATATCTACATCATGTGCCATGAACCAGATCCGCCAGACAAGTCCTGACATCACCGGCTTCGTCCAGTCATTTGACCAGATCAGTTGTAGCCAAGCCACGCTTCTGCCACATATTGAGCACGGACCCGAACCGTGGCTTCCCACCATAAACCTATGTGCAAGATGCTGCAAGATGCTCCAAGCGCAAAATTTGTTGCTCAAGATTCTTACAAGAGTGTTTATTCCGCCAACTGGAAAGACGCCAGTGCCTTTTCTTCAAAGGAATACGGCAATTCCAGGATACATTTACGGATACAAGCAACAGCTCCCAAAACCATGGTACATTCTGATACATTTATCATAGTTGATACGGTTCATGGTGTTCATGAATCATCATGATCATGATATATCAATATATATATATATGTATATATATCACTTGACAGGGCTCTATCCTCTAATCCTCGGAGTCTGCCCAGGCACTGATAGCAGAACGTTTTCGGTGCATGGAGAGACTCTCAGTCTGCTCGCGCTTGAAAGATTCAATGCGATCCCCCAGAGTTCGCGCTTTCTGATAACTCAATTGACTCTCGGTCCTGTGGCAGCTCAGGTTTGGTTCTAGTATGTTCTAGTCTTCTAGTTCACAGATGTTGACAAATGGTGACTTAAATGTTTACAATTTACAATGTATTACAACACACAAAAACAAACAAACTAAAACTGTGATATCCGAAAGCATCTTATGAGTCTTGATGAGTCTTGACAACTGTGACACCCTGCTCCTCCTGAGTCGGTTTTGCATCGTAGTCTGCATGTGGTCCATGGAGGAACCTCCTTGCAACGCCTTCAAGTGACAGTGCTGACAGGCTGCTCATCTTGGATCCTCATGTTCTGGTCTTGCTACAGATTCGCATGCCTTGATCTTTCCTCGAGTTTTTGAAATGATGCAAGCTAACCAGTGAAAGTTGTTCTGGCTGTCAAACTCACACCTCCATCGGGACCCATTTCCAGCCTCTGCATGACCAAAGGTTTCTTTGGCTCTGTGAGTCTCTTCGTTTGCAACTGAAAGGTCACAAGAATCCTGCAGGCAGGTCATTTTGGATCAACGCAAAGGCGTGGAAGTGAACATACATTTGAAGCAGTCTAGACAAGACAAAAAAAGACTGGAATTGAATCAAACATGGCAAGAGAAACACATTCTATATTCCGTATATCTACAGTATACTTAATGTTTAAATATATATATACACACATAAATATAACCTGAGAAGGGGGGAACAAAAGCCAGCATCCCATCTATCCCTATGTTCCCCAATATTTTTCGCCCAAAGGCTCTTCACCCAGAAGCCCTTCTTGCACATACTTTTCACCCACAGACTCTTCACCCAGAAACTCTTCTTGCACATACTTTTCACCCTTTTCATCCAGAGACTCTTCACCCAGAAACTCTTCTTGCACATACTTTTCACCCATATACTTTTGGGCCAGAGACTCTTCTTGCACATACTTTTCACCCATATACTTTTCACCCAGAGACTCTTCACCCAGAAACTCTTCTTGCACATACTTTTCACCCATATACTTTTCAGCCAGAGACTCTTCTTGCACATACTTTGCTCCCATATACTTTTCACCCAGAGACTCTTCACCCAGAAACTCTTCTTGCACATACTTTTCACCAATATACTTTTCACCAAACTTCCTTCTTGCACATACTTTTCACCCATATACTTTTTGACCCAGAGACTCTTCACTCAGAAACTCTTCTTGCACATACTTTTCACCCAGAGACTCTTCACCCAGAAACCCTTCTTGCACATACTTTTCACCCATATACTTTTCACAAAACTTCCTTCTTGCACATACTTTTCACCCATATACTTTTTACCCAGAGACTCTTCACCCAGAAACTCTTCTTGCACATACTTTTCACCCAGACACTCTTCACCCAAAAACTCTTATTACACATGCTTTTCACCCATATACTTTTCACCCACAGACTCTTCACCCAGAGACTCTTCTTGCACATACTTTTCACCCATATACTTTTCACCCAGAAACTCTTCTTGCACATACTTTTCACCAATATACTTTTCACCCAGAGACTCTTCACCCAGAAACTCTTCTTGCATAGATTTTTCACACAGAGACTCTTTACCCAGAAACTCTTCTTGCACATACTTTTCACCCATATACTTTTAACCCAGAGATTCTTCACCCAGAAACTCTTCTTGCGCATACTTTTCACCAATACACTTTTCACCCAGGGACTCTTCACCCAGAAACTCTTCTCGCACATACTTTTCACCCATATACTTTTCATCCAGAGACTCTTCACCCAGAAACTCTTCTTGCACATACTTTTCACCCATATACTTTTCACCCAGAGACTCTTCACCCAGAAACTCTTCTTGCACATACTTTTCACCCATATACTTTTCACCCAGAGACTCTTCACCCAGAAACTCTTCTTGCACGTACTTTTTACCCATATACTTTTCACCCAGAGACTCTTCACCCAGAAACTCTTCTTGCACATACTTTTCTCCCATATACTTTTCACCCAGAGACTCTTCACCCGCAAACTCTTCCTGCACATACTTTTCACCCATATACTTTTCACCCAGAGACTCTTCACCCAGAAACTCTTCTTGCACATACTTTTCACCCATATACTTTTCACCCAGAGACTCTTCACCTAGAAACTCTTCTTGCACATACATTTCACCCATATACTTTTCACCAGAACTCTTCACCCAGAAACTCTTCTTGCACATACTTTTCACCCATATACTTTTCACCCAGAGACTCTTCACCCAGAAACTCTTCTTGCACATACTTTTCACCCAGATACTTTTCACCCAGAGACTCTTCACCCAGAAACTCTTCTTGCACATACTTTTCACCCATATACTTTTTGCCCAGAGAATACTTTTCACCCAGAGACTCTTCACCTAGAAACTCTTCTTGCACATACTTTTCACCCATATACTTTTCACCCAGAGACTCTGCACCCAGAAACTCTTCTTGCACATACTTTTCACCCATATACTTTTCACCCAGAGACTCTTCACCCAGAAACTCTTCTTGCACATACTTTTCACCCATATACTTTTCACCCAGAGACTCTTCACCCAGAAACTCTTCTTGCACATATTTGTCACCCATATACTTTTAACCCAGAGACTCTTCACCCAGAAACTCTTCTTGCACATACTTTTCACCCATATACGTTTCATCCAGAGACTCTTCACCCAGAAACTCTTCTTGCACATACTTTTCACCCATATACTTTTCACCCATAGACTCTTCACCAAGAAACTTGTCGTGCACATACTTTTCACCCATATACTTTTCACCGAGTGACTCTTCTTGCACATCCTTTTCACCCATATACTTTTAACCCAGAGACTCTTCACCCATATACTTTTCACCCAGAGACTCTTCACCCAGAAACTCTTCTTGCACATACTTTTCACCAATATACGTTTCACCCAGGCACTCTTCACCCAGAAACTCTTCTTGCACATACTTTTCACCCAGAGACTCTTCACCCAGAAACTCTTCTTGCACATACTTTTCACTCATATACTTTTCACCCAGAGACTCTTCACCCAGAAACTCTTCTTGCACAGACTTTTCACCCAGAGACTCTTCACCCAGAAACTCTTCTTGCACATACTTTTCACCCATATACTTTTCACCCAGAAACTCTTCTTGCACAGACTTTTCACCCAGAGACTCTTCACCCAGGAACTCTTCTTGCACAGACTTTTCACCCATATACTTTTCAGCCAGAGACTCTTCTTGCACATACTTTTCACCCATATACTTTTCATCCAGAGACTCTTCACCCAGAAACTCTTCTTGCACATATTTGTTCCATATACTTTTAACCCAGACACTCTTCACCCAGAAACTCTTCTTGCACATACTTTTCACCCATAAACTTTTCACCCCCAGACTCTTCACCCAGAAACTCTTCTTGCACATACTTTTCACCCATATACTTTTCACCCCGAGACTCTTTACCCAGAAACTCTTCTGGCACATATTTTTCATCCATAAAAACTCGAGTGTCACATGCTTGCCCCTCCCAGCCGCCATGTAATCAAATGCATTATTTTCCGTATAATGGGTGAAGTTGCAATCTGCATCATGAATAAAGCAAAACAAACTTAGTGTCAAACAGGCACATACCTTAGAACTGAACCCTTGTGTGAACTTGGCTCACGACGCTGCCTGATCTTCCCAGGCCTTGGTGATAGTGAGAACTTGCCCCGACTGCTGCAGATGCTGAGTAGGTTGAACGCCTTCCCTCGGCCTTGGTGAACAGAAGGAGGATGAAGGGGATGGTGGTGGGTGATCTTGACACCAAAAAAAAAGAATCTAGAGCCAAAATGGCACACGGCAATTCAGCTGATTCTCAGATTCACCTGATACATACTGATGCTCTCAAACCACCATGCATGTTCACTCTCTGTTTTCACTACGTATCAGTTGATACTTCACAAAAACTCGAGTGTCACATGCTTGCCCCTCCCAGCCGCCATGTAATCAAACGCATTATTTTCCGTAGAATGGGTGAAGTTGCAATCTGCAGCATGAATAAAGCAAAACAAACTTAGTGTCAAACAGGCACATACCGTAGAACTGAACACTTGTGTGAACTTGGCACACGACGCTGCCTGATCTTCCCAGGCCTTGGTGATAGTGAGAACTTGCCCCGACTGCTGCAGATGCTGAGTAGGTTGAACGCCTTCCCTTTCTAACTCCGCCCATTGTCGCTCAGTTCTAAGTCACGGTTGAACCAATCTGGCATATGATGCATGCACTTGTCGAAAGCAGAATGGTTGGATGGGAGTCCATCCAAGTCATTACTAAATTTCACCGGCGCATCTGCACCGACCCATCGCCATCCACAACGAGTTGTCCACCTTAACGGTGACTCAAGGAAAGTACATCCACTGGTAGAGTGCACCTTCTTTGTGTCGAGAATGTCGAGATTCATCACCACTTCCGGATGAAGAACACGACGTGCGATCTTTTCAAGGGTGCTTTCATCGAGCGGTTGGCCCATGTTGTGTGCTTGCACAGCAACTTCCAACGACAACTGCTTGAGAATTTCATTGCACGTGTGCTGGTTACCAGCTAACTCATTGACTTGTTTCTGCAATGTGGCGTGGGCGACGAACTTGCGCTGCTCAATGGGTGATTCTTCATACGCTTCTTCAATGTACCCATGGACAGCTGAACTTGAATGTCGTGACAAATGCATGATGAGGTCCAAAGGAATGCCCAAACGCGCCAAGTACTTCACGCCTCCCCTGCGCATCGAATGACCAGTGAAGGCTGTTTCGTCCACCAAAGGATCTACAAGGTTGATCTGTTTCATATGGACAATGTCATGCCTCAATGCTGCAATCATGGCCTCTTTAGTGACAAACTGGAACGGGTCACCCACGGTTCCGATCAACGGAGCATCGGGCTCATACGCATCACCCAATTTCGTTCCCAACCTTCTCTCCTGATGATGAACAAGCTCCTTTGTCACATGGTACAGGCAGCACCAAAAGCTGGGACTGTCACCCGACCCATCACAGTCGCACGCCAAAGTTCTTCTAATACCTTTGGCCGACGGGTCCGTCTTACTGGCCGTTAGCTTGAGGGTTACTAATTGTTCTATTTCACTAAATTTGATCTCATCATTGTTGAATGCCATGCATGCCAACTCCGTCTCACGCAACAAAAACCTGATGCCCAATGGCCAAACCAACCAATGACAAGAAGGCCAACCCTCCTCGCTGAAGTCCACATGCTCCAAGTCAGGTATCCACTCCAGACGTAGTTCGCAGCCTTTGATGGAGGTCCTATCCCTCGCTGCAAAGATCGCTTGCAATCTTTCAGAGCTTGATCCAAATCAATGGACGAGGGGTGACCGGCCCTGATGCGCGCCGACCTGATTTCCATCAAGTATGCCGCACCTGATCGAAAGGCTGCCATTTTCCAAATTGCTGCAATCTCCATCATTACAGTTGGAGTCAGAGGCAAAACCTGCATACCTCTTGCTTGGCATAGCGAGGCCCAAGTCTTTCTCATAGCAGTCTTGGTACGAAGCGTACCTGGTGCTAACATGCCATCTGAAAAATGTTCTCTTGCGCGTTCCATCATAGCTTCATCATTTGCCAGAGCCATTGCCACCGACACGGAGCCGCGCCTACTGCCGCTTCCAGCCGCAGCATTCGGCGTCATTGGCGCGGAAGGTCTCCTGCGCTCCGGAAGGAAACTTGAAACTCTCGTCAACTCACTTTTGCTCGAAGCGGGGACAATCCAATTGTCCTCACCATCTATCTCCCTCGGAACCCACAAGGCGGGGCCAATGCGATGTGCCACAGGGGGATGAGTGGTAGCAACTGCCAAACTATCAGGTCCAAGTGCCAAGGCCACCCAACCTCCCGATGAAGCAGTCTGCCCCACCTCATCAGGTACCCCTAAACGCACACGGGCCTCTCTAATGCCCACCGGTGGCGTTGTCCATACTGACTCTGCAATGAGCACTGATCTACGAGGAGGGCATTTTGACTGCCATTTCCTCTTCCTATTGAGGGCGCCAGACAACATGACCCTTTTTGAGCCTGCTCGCGCCTACCAACAATGGCATGCGAGTGTGTGTGTGTGTGCCAGTTGTGCATGCAGCAGTGAAAGGACACACGTCAACAAAACAAATCCTAACCAATTCAATTTGTCGGGGAACTTAGCACCCATGCAAGACGCAATGAAATTGTGCTCTCGCGCAGCGGCAGTGCTACAGGAAAGCGCGAAACTCATGCCTAAGTCACGCCTGTGTGCTGAAAATCTGCTTTCCCCCATCTAAATGCAATTTCCAGGAAGTCATGCCTATGTCATGCCCGCAACCCAAATCACCATCTAAATGCAGCGGAAACCTTTGCTTCATTTTCATTTCTTCACCTTTGCAAAACGTTTGGCGCGATTTGCGCGCCATGCCGCCAGCCAAGCGCTGCGGCCAGCAGTGGATCTCAAAGTTCCTTTGTTCACCACTTCCTTTTGAAACACAGACCACAGGGCCTCTTTTCGGCACATAGGTTTGAGGTGCGAGGAAACAAAAAATTCAGCAATTGGTTTGATGTCATCCCTTCGGGACTTCCCAAAATTTGCGCAAATGTACGCAACGCACCCTGAAGTTGTATCTAAGTCGTGCTCCTCGTCGCTCAACGAGTCCACCGGCTTTGAGCCAGCTGGGATTTCCAAATCGTCTGGCGCTTTTTCACTGATCTTTGCCTTTTTTGCTGCTGGTTCCTCTTCTCCGACAAGCTTTGTTGTAGCTTGCGATTCCTTTTTTTTCCGAAGCACTGCTAAGAGATCGCCCACCCCGGCGGCCAAGCGGTCCTCCTCCACTGTCTGTGGGGCAATGGCCTCACCTTCAGGAACCTTTCTCCACCCAGCCTTTCGCCCAGGCCGGTACAGATCGGCAGTGGTGGCATCAAAATGGGGGTTGGCAGCACCGCAGTCGCCACAAAACTTGGAAGTCACAGGGATTTGGGCATTGCAGGAGTCCGCTTGGCACGCTTTCTTCGCTGGAGAAACAATTTTCAGCAAGTCCAACGCTGCAGAGGACTTGGATTTCGGTTCAGGCAAATCACCTGGTCCAGCAAGCTTGGAAGCAAAGAGTTCCGCATGTCTGTCCACAAGTATCTTTTCCCGCAAAATGCGGGATCCTGTCTCGAAGCCAATGTGGCTCCAGGCGGCCCTTTGGTTTGCTTCAGAGAGGCCCTCGCCAACAATTCTCCGGAGCGCAGCAAGGGCCTGGAATATCGACAGGGTCGTTTCCTGTCGCGACCATGCACGCTTAAATTCTGCCCAACGTGCGCTCATAATAGCATGTGGTTGCTGATCAAGCGGCATCAAGCACTTTGTTGTATAACTGGGCAGGATGTAGGGGAAGGCACCATACCGATGACAAAGAAGTACGGTTGCTATGGAGACATGAAGCCAGCTCCCTCCGCCTGAATCCAAAATGAGTATCAGCGGTCCATCTGGGCACCGCTCCCGCATGGGAGCGAGACAGCATTTTTCCAGCATGGAGCTGAAGCCTGGCATGCGTCAGTCTTCGAACTTCGAATATGGCCAAATATTTGACCCCTGCCGTATAATATATAATAAGGGAAATAATCCGCCGACCCCTGCCGACAGCAGGGGGAGCGCGTCAGAGAAGAGATTCCAAGCAGTGGGGGCCGTGGCCCGCAGGCCCGGTCCGTATTTCAGGGAGCTGCTGTTCAGAAAGCAACGTTAGGAGAACGACAACGACAACACGAACAAGAACAAGAACGAGAAGAAGGACCAGAAGCAACAACAACAACGACGACAACAACGACAACGACGACGACGACAATGACGCTGACGACAACGAAGATGCAGCTCGCAGCATGTCATGTCCGCAAGTTCAGATGAAATCCCCCTCTCTCTTTCCCTCCCCCGACCCCTACAGGCATCGCCGGTGTGCGAAGCTCTACAATTATCGGTCAGCATTAAAATTCCGTATAGTGGAAAGTAAGGATGAACAGAATACGGGTGAATCCCATGTTTGGAAAAAAAAATCTGTGAACTTATCGCTGAGAAGCTTTCTGGTGTTTGACTCCCAGATTCATGAACCCAAAATTCCGCTTCCGGCCAAACAGTCTTGAACTTTGCATTGGTGGATTTGAAGGGTAGAATCACTCCTGGCGGCAAACTCTTTCCACACAACGGCATGAAGGAACACACGCTGACGTGCTCAAAGGCCACGGATGGGGTGTGAGTGGCAGCTGTGTTGCGACCCAATTTTGTCGTGATGCCCTTCACCAGCGTGTCAGACCTGGCAGGGTCAATGTCACCAGTTTAAATGAAAACAGGTGCGATATGTTCAAAACATGTTTCTAACATCTTTGTCGGGCGTGACTAGGCCTGCTTGAAAAGCCTTTTTCATCACAACATAAGATGCGCCCTGCAGACTCAGCTTTCAAGATGCCATCCTCCAAGAATCCGTGCTCTGTCAGCAGAGCCTGCAAAGCATCATAGGCAGCACCAACCACCTTGGGTGTGCAAGATGTGAGCTCATGCACGCTTTTGACCTTGAGTCTCGACAAGCACAGATGCTCTTCAGGTGACTTATTCTCCTCCACCCAAGTCTTGAAGTCACGCCACAAATGGTGGCGCTTGGGACGTTCACTCTCAAGCCGTTCCTGCAGTTGAGACTGCGTGGGCTTGTCATCCAAGCGCCCCTCCTTGGCGAGTTTCATGATGATGATTGCGTCTTCGCACTGTTGGATCGTCAGCGCCGTTCCAGTTCTTTCGTGAAACTTCAAGAAGAGAAACACATCTTCTTTTTCACGTTCATTCAAAGAACTCTGTGGGGTGCGACCAGCTTGGAATACAGGAGGACAGTCGAAAGGAAGACTGTTGCCAAAATCTTTGCGGATGCGGTACAGGATGTGCTTATTGACCTTCAAGATCTTCAACTGCTCACAAGCTTGCGCAGGGTTCCGGATAGGGCAAGACGGCATTTCCATCAAGAATAGAAGAAGCCCATACATCTCCCACCTCTTCTGAGAATGCTTCCAAGGCTGGTACTCAGCAAAGTCCTTTTCGAGCTGGGACACTGTATAGCCTGGGGGCAGCACTAAGCGCCGGAAGCCATCATCATCCCGTAGCCAGGGAACCTCGTCAAACGCAGTGCGAGGCTCAGTCTTGACAACTGCAGCGCCTACATGGTCCGAATCCTTTGCAGCCATTTCTGCTTGAAATCCTTGCTGTTCTTCCATGCTCATGCTTTTCCAGCGGTGCAAGTAGTGTGCTTGAGATTGGCAGGCTTCAGGTCCCTCCTGGAATGCTCGAATACGCGCAAACCATTGCCCGTAACCTTCACGCTTCTTTCGCATCCACCCAGACTCGGGCGCAGCTTCGACTACCTTCTCCGACGGCACCTCGCCATGAGATGATGTCTTGCTTGGTGTCTCGGGACAAAACTCCTCGGCCACCTCTGAATCTAGCACCTGAGGCTCTGATTCTTCCAGAGCTTCCTCGATTCGAGACTGGTCCTCATAGCAGGGAAAGCAGCAAAGAGGAACTGGAGATTTGTTGTCTGCTGAGATGGAAGAGCCGCATGAAATGCAATTATCGCCGGAAGCATCGCCAACCTTCAAGCGGCTCATGTTTCTTTCCACTACAAAGCACTTCAAACAATAGCTTGCCAAAGCAGAACGGTTCAGACGAGTGATGTCTGTCTTGCAGTCAGTGCACTGTGGGTTCACGGGCGCGTGATTCTCAATTTGTTTTGCATCATCCGCTAATTCAAGGGCACTTGGCGATTCTGGTGGAGGTGGCAGCGGAGGCAAAACATCACTTTCTCCTGGCCAGCGTCCGTCAAGAAGCTTTATAACTGATAGAATAAGCGATTTTAATCATGGCCCTTGCGAAAGAGAAGTGATATAATATATATATATGTATTTATTTATTTGTTTGTTTGTTGTGATGATAAGTACCGAATCTGGAGAGACACGGAGAGAGAGAGAGAGAGAGAGAGATAGATGGATGGATAGATGGATGGATAGATGGATGGATAGATGGATGGATACAGTAGATGGATGGATAGACAGATAGATAGATAAAAAGATAGACAGATAGATACACAGACAGACAGACAGACAGATAGATAGATAGATAGACAGATAGATTGATAGACTTAGACAGACAGGCAGACAGATAGACAGATATATACTGGAAAAAAACGACGTCAAAACGACGTCAAAACGACGTCCAAACGACGTCAAAATTTTGCCTAGGAAGGCCACTCCCCACCTGATGGCTCAACAAGATGAGCCTCCGCAGTCGCAGCTAGAGCTCTCAGTGCTGCAACATCTTGCGCTGCAAACCCAGCCGCAGAGACCAACGCGGCGTCAGCTGGGCCAGCTGTAGTAATAGCTCGGCACAACACAGCTCTTTTCTCCTTAGATCAATCACAGCGGGGGGAGAAAGCAGCAAAAGGCAAATATTACTCGGAAAGAGAAGCTGCAAGCCCCGTTCTGCGTCTTGCCCGCTGAGCAAGATAGAAAAAGCAAAACTTTGACAGCGCATTCCGAGGCACAATGTCAAGCATCTCCGATGATATAGGAACTTCCCAGACAGAAAGCTGCTCCAAAAGCTCCTTCTGCGACAACCGAGCTACTTTACTCTGTGTAAAGGGTTGCCTTGTGACTTTTGTGGTCACGCATGGCACCACAAGTGGGGCTGCAGCATTTGTCATGGGGCCTGTCATTTTGCGAACCAACAGAGCCCTCATCTCCATTTCAAGTGCGCCTTCTGGCACAGCAACCTTCCAAGCATCTATATACTCTAAAAGGTCACACTGCGACAATCTCAGAACCTTGCTGGACGAAAGCTTTTCTTTCGCCTCCATGGCTAGCGTCCAGATAAGTTCTATATACCGTTCTATATACCGTGAAAAAATATAGATATATATGTATATATAGAGAGAGAGAGAGTTCCGTCATGTTCTGTTACCTGCACCAAGCTGTTTATCTATGACGCTCACGCTGTCTATGTGTCCAATGTCGACTTTTGCATGACAAAGCATTTTTCCTTTTTGACAGTCAAGCCCCAGCTAATTTGTAGCCAAATTCGAAGGCAGTGGTGGGATAACAAAGCAGCACAACTAGAATGATTCCAGTGACGTACCTAAACTCTTCAAAGGCACTTTTCATGTTCTGACTGTCCATGTAACGCACCCCTCTCAAAACCCGGTGTCCGTCCCAGCAGAAAGCACACCAGTGCATGCAGAGGCTACAAGCAGCAGTTGCGCAAAATCAAAGAAAACAACTGTCTCTCCACAGGGCCGTCTCAGTCAGAAACCTTTCTTGCACGGCTGATTTAGTTGTCTGCTATCTGCTGTCAGTATCACTTACACTACGCACAAGGAGCACGCGCACAATTGGCGCATTGCGTGTTCACAATGTCACCCCCACATAGCGCTGTACATCACCCAAGGCCATCACAAACCATAGAGGTTTTCTAGGCACAACATTCATGACAGGAACATACATCCTTGCCTCCCCTCTCCTCGCGAATTGCCAAGCTAAGCTTGCGAACTGCTTCTACCACCCCTGTCTGTACAAGAAGTGGCACCGAGCGGGAGCAACAAAAAAGTGCACAAGCATAAACACAGCAGGAGCATGTGCCGCCTGCTGCCTCAACCTTCCTAGAACCGAGCCCCCTATAGGCCCATGCCACAGTATGTTTCGGAACGTTGCAAATCAGGCACCTCATGATCTTGGGACACTTACCTGAAGATTTCCTCTGGGAAGACGGCATCAGAGCAAGAGCAGCGAAGCGATCATTGAACTCCAAGCGAAGATCATCGGCTAAGAGTTTCATGCTCCGTTCCTTAGCCAGGCGGAACCGATCCACCACCAGCAACTGCCCAACAAGTTATCCACAGAGAGGGTCGAATAAACCAAACACGCATCGAATAAGCATACAGATGTAAAATCATACAATCATATATATATATATATATATATATATATTACATGCATACGAATACACAAAATATATGTAAGTATCATGAAAAAAACAAGCACACACACATATATATATATATACATACATTCAAAAATATACCACCATAAAATATACACGTATATGTATATATGTATCTGATATGAGTGCAATCATAGACACGTTCTTTTACAAATATATATATATATATAAATTCATAGGCAAGTCAGCAATATGTGTATATCAGATTTATATACATCTTCTGACTTAAAGGAGTTGATAGTATGATTGTAACCCTTCTCTTTTGGTTACATTGGGGTAGCCAATACAGCATACAGCCCTCTACCCATCTTTGAGTGCGGTAATTAATCGGTAAATATTCGAATTAAATACCCAGAGGATAAGGCACCAAAACCACAAAATGTAACACCCAAAAAATAGAATCCCGAAAAAAAACTTGACTCACGAGTGTACAGCCCCAAAACCCATAATACCAAGTACCTTCTTGCATCCTATCGCACTATCGCAGAAAAAAACCTCAGCTAAAACAACCAACAAACAACCAATCCAAAGCAAACCAAACTAAACAAAACAAAACACACCAGCATCCACACCCACACACTTACACACACAAACACACGTGCATCCACGCGCTCGAGACGCGTCATCGTCAGAACCACGGCCATCTCCACGAAGCACCTGCAAGCAAGAACGATGGGGCAGGCACTGATACTGGAAAGAAAAACGCCACAAACGAACAAGAATAGGAATCCACCATCAACAACCGAAAAGAGGTGCTCCTAACCAGCCAAAAGCAAACGCAAACACACACACACACACCCACACACCCCACTCACCAAAGCACCTCATGGCCACGATGTTGATCGTCATTGCGCAGGACCTGCAAGGACAAGGAAGCAAGGAAGTTAGGCGCGTAGAAAAGCACAAAAGCAAGAAGAGAACATGGAAAAAAAGTCAAACAAGAAAAATCACAGCCCGAAAGAAAAACAAGAACAAAATAGAACAACAAGACGCATGTAAGAAAAACAAACCACAACACCGCTGCACCCAGACCCCAATGACCCTCCCACCTCCATCGCACGTCGCTGCCACGCAAAGAAACCGCTGCCACACACAAGGAAGTTGAGCAAAGGAAGAAATGGCTACGCACAAAGCAGGATCCCTGCTATTTACGACTTGAACTACCGAATTGATCAAAACACCAACTAAATGCAACAACCAAGTCTTAAGTAAATCAGATGTGAAGTCTTTGCCCAACATCAAAACACCAACTAAATGCAACGACCCAGTCTTAAGTAAATCAGATGTGAAGTCTTTGCCCAACATCAAAACACCAACTAAATGCAACGACCAAGTCTTAAGTAACTCAGATGTGAAGTCTTTGCCCAACATCAAAACACCAACTAAATGCAACGACCAAGTCTTAAGTAAATCAGATGTGAAGTCTTTTCCCAACATCAAAACACCAACTAAATGCAACGACCAAGTCTTAAGTAACTCAGATGTGAAGTCTTTGCCCAACATCAAAACACCAACTAAATGCAACGACCAAGTCTTAAGTAACTCAGATGTGAAGTCTTTGCCTAACATCAAAACACCAACTAAATGCAACGACCAAGTCTTAAGTAACTCAGATGTGAAGTCTTTACCCAACATCAAAACACCAACTAAATGCAACGACCAAGTCTTAAGTAAATCAGATGTGAAGTCTTTGCCCAACATGCTGAACACCAACTGAATGCAGGATTTATATAAAATCATGGATCCGAACATGAAAACCAGAAAATCATGCATTTCCTATGCGTTTCACAAAAAGGCACGACTTTTGAAAATCAAGTGCTCCCAAGCTATTTTCAACGATTCCCACTAATCTAGGCACGACTTTAGCAACTCTCTGTATTTCCACCAACTTGCATTTCTCAGGTTCTGGCCAAGCTCGGAACAGTGTGCGGTCCCGATTGAAGTGAAGTTTGGGGGATACCTAGCAACGCGTCGACTACTTCTCCACGGCTGAGCTTGTCAGCAGTGTCATTTAGCAGTCCACGCAGATGGCGTCCCTCCAATGCAGGACGATTATTCACTTCCTGTTGACTAACCGAGTTAAAAGTGGTGAACTTGATTTATATGTGAGTGCACTATGCAATGCTGAAACATTGTCAGCACGGATAAAGAAACGAAATGGATGTGCAATTTGCTCAGCAAATTTCTTTGCACTCAAAACCAAAGCAAAAAACTCGAATTCTGTTTGAAATGATGGATCACGACTCGCACCAGGCCCTAGCAACGCAAGATCCGAATCTAAAATCGGACAATGCCAATATAGGACTGGTTTGTTGTGCAATCTTAATACACCACCCATACCCTGTGGACATGCATCACACTCAATGACATACACCAACATAGGCTTGTGATCTAACACATATCTATGCCTGAGAGTTTGACTTTCCGACTTCTTTCCCAACAGATACTGCAACCATCTTACAGCATGGGAAAGTTGTTTCCGGAAACACAGGCCCTTCCTCTGCCTCGTTGAAGGACGCCGTGGCGTATACTGCTTGGCCTGTGCGAGTGCCGCATACAGCATGCCCATCCAAGGAAGTGCGATGGAAATAATGGAACTTAGCCAACCCAACACACCGCATGCATTCTGGAGTTTGGTGAGTGAAACAACCGGATTTGCCACAAGTTCTTCTAGCGCAGCTCTCAACGCAGCAGTCTTCTCATGCGTCAGCATCACTTGCAGTAAATCACAAGTGACAAAGTGCAAAGTTACCCCAATCCAGTTAACTTGTAACCCTCTTTCAACTTTGGGCCAGCTGAGTTGGAATCCCACAACCATCCAAGTGACTAAAAACACCAGCATGACTTTGGTCCTGTCCTGCCGTGTGCGGCCTCCAGCGAGGATGACTGGGTCGTCCACGTAGGTTGCCACTCTGCCTTCCCATTCAGCAACAGCTGCTTGACTGACCCGCATGATGCTAGAGCACAATCGCGCCCACAGCAAAGGCGCAGAGGCTACGCCAAACCCAACTACGTGAAAACAGAAATACTGGTTTGCAGAGTTCTTCACTATGACACATGACCGTTCCTCCGGGCGCAAGAAAAGAGTGTAAAAGGCATCGCTGAAATCGGCACTGCAAAATTCCAAACTATCTTGATTACACAGCTTCTGCCTCAGTGCCATCGTTGATTTAGCAACATCACGACTCTTTCAAATAAAGAAACTTGACCACAGATGCCGCTACGTCTCATATCTACAATGAGACGTGTCTTAGCCTTGCCATCTTTGACTTTGACGATGCAAGCCAGAGGAGTGAGAACCGCATCTTGCCCTATCAAATCAACAACTTCACGCCAACTGCCGACCTTATCGGCGCGGCCCAGGTGAAGTAACCTTTCTAGTTCTTCCTCTGCCAACGGCCCTGCCTCGGCGAAGCTCGTGTAGTTTCTGGCTTCTCCGCTCCAATCGCTGGCCAGAGTGCCAATGGTCTTTGACGCCTGGATGGCCGCTGAAACTTCATCAGTGGCCGGAAAAACACCATTGTTCTTGATTCTACACTTTACTCCTAAAGGAAAACCAAACTTCAACCAATCGTAAATGGTGGCAGCATCCGGATCATCTGCTGTTTTCAGCAGTGCGTCAAACAGTTCAGCTTCGTAGCCCTCATGGCTAACATCGGCATTGAACTCCTTAGCCACTGCCGTGCGAACCTCACGCAGCTCGGCAACTGAAAAAGGACATGATTGTGGCTCATCTTCAAACCGCTGAGTCACACCTGTAGTCAAGTGAATGTCCAGCACTGCACGAAGCCGGGCCCCCACCTGTCTTAATTTCCAGCTCTTGGCAACTGCGGCCTGAGGGTCCCTTAATCCACCAACGCAAAGGGAATTTTCCAGCTCCCTCTTCTCTGCAATTGTCAATGAGCTCGAAGGTGCATTTTTTGAATTCACTCTCTGCATCTCCGTTTCACGGACTGCAGACGCCTTTACCAGCGCATTCTGGTGTCTGCCCACCTTCACATACGTCAAAGACTCCAATGGTGACTTGTCAGTGTTGGAATCAAATGACGCACTAGCAGCAATCTTCTCCAGCTCCACCGTGGCAACTTCGGGTCATTTGTTTGACTGACCCCCACTTCCTTTCGGCCCTTCTTTGCCAGTTTTCTTGACATGATGAGGGCAATTTTCATTGGAGTGGTTGCCCAGGCAGTGCTGGCAGCCATGAGTCCTTTTGTCTCTGCATGGTTCGGGGCAAGCATTTGCCTTGCCCTTTGCAAAGCGGAAACACAACTCGGTCCCATCTTGATCCGTGATGTAATGAGTTCCCCACTTCCGTGGGTGGCTATCTTGCCCTCCAGCACCAGGCTTTCCAGACTTCTTAGGTGATGGAAGCGGCGGTGCCTCAGCATCTCGGCCTCGCCTTCGTTTCCGTGGTGGTCTTGCTGACGGAGCCTGAGGCACAAAACTTTGGTTCTGCTCGATGCCTGCCAATGCTTCTTAACGCATTTGCAGACACGCCAATGTTTTCTGCCTTTTCCATGGTCATCTGACGACCTCCCCTTGCTAAGAAATTCTGGGCAGGACGAATCACATGCTTCATCCAATACTCCTGGTCTCGAGCTGCAAAGATGAAGCAACCGACCCAAGGCTGAGCAGGGTTGAATTCCAGGTTCATCGGCAAACGGTTCTCGGCTGCTGCCTTTGTCAAGGTTCTCCGATGTCTCTCCAGCATTTCTGCTCTGCAACGGTCTTCTGCTTGCATAATGAGGTAACATGTTTCTGGGTAGTCCTCGTTCAAGCGAGTGACGTTCTCAAAGTACTCTTCCGAACAAGCAGGCGTTGCCACTGGGTTTCCACTAGATGGGTGCTTCAGCATAAACAGCAAGGAGCGGAAAACCCGCCAGCAAGCAGCCCAGGCCTTGTACGTTGGAGGACCTGGTACTTCTAGTGCACGAAACGTGCCGTCCTGCTGGATTGTCCATGCCCTGGCCTTCATCTGTTTTTGAGCCCTTTTGCCGTAAGGTGTCAGTATGGAAAAGTCCGCGTAAGGCGGTTCCCCCAGCTGAACAACACGTTGATACATCGAAGCGATTTGCTCCGGTGTTGGTTCTGATTCGTGGTTGGGCTCAGAACCAGTCCAGTCATGGCCACATGGTTTGCAAACGCCTGGTCCATGTCCGCTCTTCCTAACAGTGGAGTTTCAGTCTCATCCACCTGGTCCAGCACCTGTGACAATTTCACCTTCTTCTGGGCACTTGTCATGGCACTGCCGGAGACACTGGGGAAGAAGACCCTTCCTGGAATGGATCCACATCTGCCATGCCACAAGCCTTCCTTGAGGCTCGCCAGACCAACCCAACCTGAATGGACTCGGCCAGATTCAATTCGCGAGGCTCGCCACCTGTGACTGGGACACGTGCCTGTTGTAGTGCAGCTTTCAGGCCACCAAGAGGAAGGCTTGCAATCAAACGAATATGCGGCAGCTTTCCCAAGGAGTTGTCTACAATGGTCCACACATCGGCACTCAAGCCAGTCCATGCAACAATGTCCGCTGGATTGCTAAAGGCAGCCAGTTCGGCATCTGTGGGCAGCACATTGACTGAAGCCATCTAAGTCCTGTATGCAAGGCAGATGAGGATTTCTCCCTTCCGGTTCACCAGCAGCACTGACGAAACCATCTGCTCCCCCAAGGGAGCAATGCAACCTGGATCTATCACTGATCTTGACACCCAAAAAAAAGAATCTAGAGCCAAAATGGCACACGGCCATTCAGCTGATTCTCAGATTCACCTGATACATACTGATGCTCTCAAACCACCGTGCATGTTCACTCTTTGTTTTTACTACGTATCAGTTGATACTTCACATACTTTTCACCCAGAGACTCTTCACCCAGAGACTCTTCTTGCACAGACTCTTCACCCAGAGACTCTTTACCCAGAAACTCTTCTTGCACATACTTTTCACCCATATTCTTTTCACCCATAGACTCTTCACAAAGAAACTCTTCTTGCACATACTTTTCACCCATATTCTTTTCACCCAGAGACTCTTCACCCAGAGACTCTTCACCCAGAAACTCTTCTTGCACAGACATTTCACCCAGAGACTCTTCTTGCACATACTTTTCACCCATATACTTTTCATCCAGAGACTCTTCACCCAGAAACTCTTCTTGCACATACTTTTCACCCATAGACTCTTCACCCAGAAATTCTTCGTGCACATACTTTTCACCCATATACTTTTCACCCAGAGACTCTTCACCCAGAAACTCTTCTTGCACATACTTTTCACCCAGTAACTCTTCTTTCCCATACTTTTCACCCATATACTTTTCACCCCCAGACTCTTCACCCAGAAACTCTTCTTGCACAGACATTTCACCCATATACTTTTCACCCAGAGACTCTTCTTGCACATACTTTTCACCCATATACTTTTCATCCAGAGACTCTTCACCCAGAAACTCTTCTTGCACATACTTTTCACCCATAGACTCTTCACCCAGAAATTCTTCGTGCACATACTTTTCACCCATATACTTTTCACCCAGAGACTCTTCACCCAGAAACTCTTCTTGCACATACTTTTCACCCAGTAACTCTTCTTTCCCATACTTTTCACCCATATACTTTTCACCCAGAGACTCTTCACCCAGAAACTCTTCTTGCACAGACATTTCACCCATATACTTTTCACCCAGAGACTCTTCTTGCACAGATTTTTCACCCAGAGACTCTTCACCCAGAAACTCTTCTGGCACATACTTTTCACCCAAATACTTTTTGCTCAGAGACTCTTCACCCAGAAACTCTTCTTGCACATACTTTTCACTCATATACTTTTCACCCAGAGACTCTTCACCCAGAAACTCTTCTTGCACATACTTTTCACCCATATACTTTTCACCCAGAAACTCTTCTTGCACAGACTTTTCACCCAGAGACTCTTCACCCAGGAACTCTTCTTGCACAGACTTTTCACCCATATACTTTTCAGCCAGAGACTCTTCTTGCACATACTTTTCACCCATATACTTTTCATCCAGAGACTCTTCACCCAGAAACTCTTCTTGCACATATTTGTTCCATATACTTTTAACCCAGACACTCTTCACCCAGAAACTCTTCTTGCACATACTTTTCACCCATAAACTTTTCACCCCCAGACTCTTCACCCAGAAACTCTTCTTGCACATACTTTTCACCCATATACTTTTCACCCAGAAACTCTTCTTGCACAGACTTTTCACACAGAGACTCTTCACCCAGGAACTCTTCTTGCACAGACTTTTCACCCACATACTTTTCACCCAGAGACTCTTCACCCAGAAACCCTTCTTGCACATACTTTTCACCAAATGTCCTTCTCTCTCCAATCTCCTCTAACTAACTGGCCCATCTATCTGTCCATTGACTGAGCCCAGAAAACCCCACTCTTACTAGCTGGCCCATCTATCTGTCCATTAACTGAACCCGAAAGACCGGACCTAGGGGGAATCGATACCCACCGTCACTGTTTTGCCGCCCGGCTTCATTACCCTGCCAAACCATACGTTGCCCGCAACAAAATCACCACCTATTTTTGCGATTTTTGACCCGTTTGGCAACTAACCCCCCCCAGACCCACTATTCTCACTTCGTTCGCAAATAGCAACTAGCCAGCTTCCCGGCTGGCTTTCGTAATTATAATTACCATAGTAGATCAACTCTAATTCGTGGTAAATATTGATAAATCAATTTTTCGCCATGGAAGCCATGGCCCTAATCGAAATAGATGGTTTACCTATTAATAGCATGGTGGATCTTTCCATGGCTCAGTCCTCCAGTACAGAGGAGAGCTCTAGCGCTAAGTCCTTCGATTGGAGCCCGATGCTCGCCTCTGTGGCATCGTGGACCCCTAATCTATAGCCATGCTGGGAAAATGGGGGTGATTTATTATTTATATGGGATTTATATGGGATTTATGTGGGATTTATATGGGATTTATATGGGTATGGGTCAATACCTATAAATACCATTTTTAGTGGGATGAACATCCATTTACCAGCTATTTTGATGTTCACCAGGGGTACAAGGTTTTGACACACTGCCATATGAGGATGACACGAATTTTTAGGTGTTGTATGGTGTTGTCTCAAAATTTGGAAGCCCAATCCGCTTGTAAAGATCATCATTCTCCGCAGCAAAATGACTTACGCGCCCCAAAGAGCTGAGAGTACCTCCGGGTCTCCGTCGAAGCGATTCCACTCTGGAGCTCTTGAAGCTCTTGGAGCTCTGGAGGAATGGTCTTTGGCCTGCGAAATTGGCTGGTCCAAAAACTTACACTCTGATGGAACTTTCCAACTCAAACCGTGGCAAGCAAAGAGCAAAGATTTTCACAGGCCGATTGCAACGCGTTTCGTCCTAAACTGGACTCTTCTGGCGGCCTGAGCAAAAATATGCTCGGCCAAGGCTATCAGGTGAAGCTTTTTTCAGCATCATCCCAACAACCTTGCATCTGAAGCTTTCAATTGTTTTTTCAAAAAAAAACACACCTCAACCTCGTCCCAAACCCTGTGGGGTATCATACTAAAATAGCCAATTGCGACAGAAATCCATCCTGAAGATATTCTTCTGGACCCTAAATGAGAGAACTGGTTTGGCCGGTTTTTTCAGGGTGCTTTGCACCACATGCCAATTTCGACTGAGTGCATGTTGAATCCATCTGGCGTTCAACGTGCTTGTGTAGGTTTGTCTGAAAAAGAACTTGTTCTCTTGTCTCACTTTCTGCTTTCGCAAAGACAATTTCTGCAGTGTTTTCTCAATGAGCTGCGAACACTCTGCTACACTGAAACCTCTGAGTTGCAACCTGCGCAAGAAAAATCCAATGTGGTGACGTAAACGTCCAGCATTTTGACAGTTATGTCGAAGAAGTCTCTGTGTCTCTCCGACTATCAATGCAGTGTAAACGGATTTTGGATGGCAGGAGGTCCTGGGAATGTAAAGGTATGCGTTCTGTGGCTTGCGATACGTCTGGATCGCAAACTGTCCCTGAGCCAGCGAGATGTCCAAATCTAGAAACACAACCCTCTTTCCTGAAAAAGAAACTTCCCACTGGATGGCAGGATGCCACTTGTCCAATTGCTGCTGCACAAACTTGACATCGCTTTCAGACAGGGAATGGAGCAATGCAAAAGCGTCATCAATGTAGCGTCGCCATGTCAGAACACATCCGCATTCATTCAGAACAAATTCGTCCAAATCTGCTAAATAAAGGTTGGCAAAGATGACTGAAGCTGACAAGCCTGTAGGTAGGCCTTTGTCAACGCGCCATATTTGATCACTGTGGTTGATGAACTGGAAGCCCAAAACAAATTCCACGAGGGTAATCAAGAAACTTGCAAAAGAAGCTTTGGCAGCCCAAAAAGTCCGTATTCTTCGCGCCAGACAAGTCATGAAATGGGTTCTGTCCACGCTTGGGTACAAGTTTGAAATGTCAAAGGTTGCAAGGCATGTACTTTCAGTCACACGCAGTTCCGAAAGCAAGTCCAAGATCTCCACACTAGATTGTACCACATATGACAGAGAAGTTGCTGCTGGCTTCAAAGTTTCGACCAAAAAGGCTGCAGCTGGAGCAAGCCAAGACTTGCCCAAGTTGAAAATGGGCCTTCCAACCACTGGGTCTTTGTGCAATTTGATTCGAATCCTGAATGTGCCGGCTTTGTTCGCACCAAGGTCTTGCAAGAGAAAGTCTACCTGCTGCCTGCAAACAATCCCAGAATAAAAGCTTTGCCAAATGAAACTCTCAAACCAGCATTTGAACACAGCACTCTCCCGCAGAAATTCATCTATGGTGGAAACTCGTGCTGCTTCATGCAACAGTCTGAGACACTCTGTTTTCAGCCAAACACGGCTGATCAATACATCTCCCAGGTTTTTGTCCGCATCTACGACCGCAACATCTTCTTTGTGTCGCACAAGCCATTTTCGGGCAGCACGATCTACGAAGTCAAAGTTCTTGTTTTTGGCCGACGGAACATGACCATGAGGCTCACTGCGAAGCATTCTGCAGTAAATTGCCACATCTGCACCCATGTGCTTTTCAACCTACATCTGCTATGGTCTACTCTGGCAACCCCTTGTCTTTCGCTGAAAAAAGCAGCCAGATGCAACTTCCTCTCAAAAAAAGCCACTTCATGCAGCACCTTGGGAACTGTGCTGCGGAACGTGTCAGGAATGAACTTACTACCCTTGGCCAAGTACGATCGCACGAAGGCTGGGATGTCAAACTTTGGCGGCATGAGGACATGGACAGGGGAACAAAATCTCCTTTCTAGCTGTACAAGGCTTGTGTGTGTCTTAGCCGGTGGAGAATGTATCTGTCTTGGTCTATGCTGAAGTCCTCATTCCAAAAACTTTTCTTCCTGGTACGCCGTTTTCGCCCGAGACTAACTGATAGTCAAGAGCGGCGTGGGGCGGGGGTCTGTATGCGGGTGTGCTTCTGCCCTTTCCCGTGCTTCCCTTTACCCTTTCCTTTGCCCTTGCCTTTTCCTTGACCTTTACCTTTGCCTTTGTGTGCTTTACTGGCTGAGCTTTTCTGGGAGGCATTCGTTGTTCGGCTGGTACTTCGGCTGGTGTGTCTGGAAGCTCGGCCTTGTCTGCTGGCTTTGCTGCTGCGTGCAATGCTTTTGCTTGAGCCCCTCGTGCCTCGTGAGGCCTTAGAGTTGGACCGGCCGCGGTCGGTGGAAGCATGGGCTTGGCTGGCAAAAGAGATGTTGTATTTCTTTGCAAGGTCAGGGTGGGATTTCATGAGAAAGGCTAAAGCCCCCCCGCCTGGTATTGTACGCTTCTTGTGCTTTGCCTCGCTTCCGCTCTGGAGTGACGAGTATTCGAGGACTGCCATGGCGAGAAGCTTGTTGACATCCATGAGTCGGAACTCGGCCTCTGCTTTAACAAGTGCCTCTTTTTTGTTTGTGTGTTGCTCCCGTTCACGCTCGCAACGCGACAGTGCTTTTGGCTGCTCTGTCCTAAAGGTCAGTTCTGCAAAGAGCTTGACCTGCTGCTGGTGGCTTTCTTGGACACTGGGGGTGAGCACTGCGCGATTCTTGCGCTACAAGGCCCCCCAGGTTTGCCAACACCAGCCCAGAACCAGCCACAGCCAGTTACCAGCCAGCTGTTGCTCACTCAACTCCTCCAAGCGCAGAACATGCAAAATCAGATGCTAGCCGAGCAGCTCGAGCAACTCAAGTTGATGCAGCAGCAGTACAGCGCACACCCAAGCAAAACCTATACCCAGCCGCAGGACATTCTTGACGCTATCGATCCCAGCCTAGCGAGGGAGTTAGCAAAGTGGGCCAAGGACTACAAGTCTTCTTTGAACCATGCAGTCACCCAGCAGGGACTTCAGCACAAATATCAGGAATTAGAAGCAGCCAGTGAAATACACAAGCAATTCCAAACTGAAGCCCTGAAAAAGTGGCAGTGGCCAGATGCTTTCAAAGCAACAGCAAAGAAGATGACACATATGCGCGCAGTCTTGCCTGATGGGGAAGCGGATGAGTTCGAGCTTCCTGATGGAAACGCTCCGCCCTTCAACATTGAAGATGAATTTGCAGCAATGAGACGGAGACACGCAAAAGAGTGCCATGATTTTGTTTTAGCCTACCAAAGGCAATGTACCCAGTTCTTCCAGGATGAGGTGCACCCAGCCCGTCAGATGATCAAAGCCGAAGACATACTCCATGCCTGGACTCGCAAGAATCGCGCAGTGCTCACCCCCAGTGTCCAAGAAAGCCTCCAGCAGCAGGTCAAGCTCTTTGCAGAACTGACCTTTAGGACAGAGCAGCCAAAAGCACTGTCGCGTTGCGAGCGTGAACGGGAGCAACACACAACCAAAAAAGAGGCACTTGTTAAAGCAGAGGCCGAGTTCCGACTCATGGATGTCAACAAGCTTCTCGCCATGGCAGTCCTCGAATACTCGTCACTCCAGGGCGGAAGCGAGGCAAAGCACAAGAAGCGTACAATACCAGGCGGGGGGGCTTTAGCCTTTCTCATGAAATCCCACCCTGACCTTGCAAAGAAATACAACATCTCTTTTGCCAGCCAAGCCCATGCTTCCACCGACCGCGGCCGGTCCAACTCTAAGGCCTCACGAGGCACGAGGGTCTCAAGCAAAAGCATTGCACGCAGCAGCAAAGCCAGCAGACAAGGCCGAGCTTCCAGACACACCAGCCGAAGTACCAGCCGAACAACCAATGCCTCCCAGAAAAGCTCAGCCAGTAAAGCACACAAAGGCAAAGGTAAAGGTCAAGGAAAAGGCAAGGGCAAAGGAAAGGGTAAAGGGAAGCACGGGAAAGGGCAGAAGCACACCCGCATACAGACCCCCGCCCCACGCCGCTCTTGACTATCAGTTAGTCTCGGGCGAAAACGGCGTACCAGGAAGAAAAGTTTTTGGAATGAGGACTTCAGCATAGACCAAGACAGATACATTCTCCACCGGCTAAGACACACACAAGCCTTGTACAGCTAGAAAGGAGATTTTGTTCCCCTGTCCATGTCCTCATGCCGCCAAAGTTTGACATCCCAGCCTTCGTGCGATCGTACTTGGCCAAGGGTAGTAAGTTCATTCCTGACACGTTCCGCAGCACAGTTCCCAAGGTGCTGCATGAAGTGGCTTTTTTTGAGAGGAAGTTGCATCTAGCTGCTTTTTTCAGCGAAAGACAAGGGGTTGCCAGAGTAGACCATAGCAGATGTAGGTTGAAAAGCACATGGGTGCCCCCAGAAGATCCAGATGTGGCAATTTACTGCAGAATGCTTCGCAGTGAGCTTCATGGTTATGTTCCGTCGGCCAAAAACAAGAACTTTGACTTCGTAGATCGTGCTGCCCGAAAATGGCTTGCGCGACACAAAGAAGATGTTGCGGTCGTAGATGCGGACAAAAACCTGGGAGATGTATTGATCAGCCGTGTTTGGCTGAAAACAGAGTGTCTCAGACTGTTGCATGAAGCAGCACGAGTTTCCACCATAGATGAATTTCTGCGGGAGAGTGCTGTGTTCAAATGCTGGTTTGAGAGTTTCATTTGGCAAAGCTTTTATTCTGGGATTGTTTGCAGGCAGCAGGTAGACTTTCTCTTGCAAGACCTTGGTGCGAACAAAGCCGGCACATTCAGGATTCGAATCAAACTGCACAAAGACCCAGTGGTTGGAAGGCCCATTCTCAACTTGGGCAAGTCTTGGCTTGCTCCAGCTGCAGCCTTTTTGGTCGAAACTTTGAAGCCAGCAGCAACTTCTCTGTCATATGTGGTACAATCTAGTGTGGAGATCTTGGACTTGCTTTCGGAACTGCGTGTGACTGAAAGTACATGCCTTGCAACCTTTGACATTTCAAACTTGTACCCAAGCGTGGACAGAACCCATTTCATGACTTGTCTGGCGCGAAGAATACGGACTTTTTGGGCTGCCAAAGCTTCTTTTGCAAGTTTCTTGATTACCCTCGTGGAATTTGTTTTGGGCTTCCAGTTCATCAACCACAGTGATCAAATGTTGCGCGTTGACAAAGGCCTACCTACAGGCTTGTCAGCTTCAGTCATCTTTGCCAACCTTTATTTAGCAGATTTGGACGAATTTGTTCTGAATGAATGCGGATGTGTTCTGACATGGCGACGCTACATTGATGACGCTTTTGCATTGCTCCATTCCCTGTCTGAAAGCGATGTCAAGTTTGTGCAGCCGCAATTGAACAAGTGGCATCCTGCCATCCAGTGGGAAGTTTCTTTTTCAGGAAAGAGGGTTGTGTTTCTAGATTTGGACATCTCGCTGGCTCAGGGGCAGTTTGCGATCCAGACGTATCGCAAGCCACAGAACGCATACCTTTACATTCCCAGGACCTCCTGCCATCCAAAATCCGTTTACACTGCATTGATAGTCGGAGAGACACAGAGACTTTTTCGACATAACTGTCAAAATGCTGGACGTTTACGTCACCACATTGGATTTTTCTTGCGCAGGTTGCAACTCAGAGGCTTCAGTGTAGCAGAGTGTTCGCAGCTCATTGAGAAAACACTGCAGAAATTGTCTTTGCGAAAGCAGAAAGTGAGACAAGAGAACAAGTTCTTTTTCAGACAAACCTACACAAGCACGTTGAACGCCAGATGGATTCAACATGCACTCCGTCGAAATTGGCATGTGGTGCAAAGCACCCTGAAAAAACCGGCCAAACCAGTTCTCTCATTTAGGGTCCAGAAGAATATCTTCAGGATGGATTTCTGTCGCCATTGGCTATTTTAGTATGATACCCCACAGGGTTTGGGACGAGGTTGAGGTGTGGGTTTTTTTCGAAAAAACAATTGAAAGCTTCAGATGCAAGGTTGTTGGGATGATGCTGAAAAAAGCTTCACCTGATAGCCTTGGCCGAGCATATTTTTGCTCAGGCCGCCAGAAGAGTCCAGTTTAGGACGAAACGCGTTGCAATGGGCCTGTGAAAATCTTTGCTCTTTGCTTGCCACGGTTTCAGTTGGAAAGTTCCATCAGATTGTAAAGATCATCATTCTCCGCAGCAAAATGACTTACGCGCCCCAAAGAGCTGAGAGTACCTCCGGGTCTCCGTCGAAGCGATTCCACTCTGGAGCTCTTGGAGCTCTTGGAGCTCTGGAGGAGAGGTCTTTGGCCTGCGAAATTGGCTGGTCCAAAAACTTACCTGGGGATTACCTCGGGTTGAGAGCTGAATTCAGGATTGAACATCTCGACCCAGTAAGCTGAAAGTTCTTAGCTCGTGCAGGACAGTGCAAGTAGCGCATCCAGAAAATTCAGGAGTAACAAGACAAACATAGACAAACTCTCTAAGGCAAGTGCTGATGGCAGTCCAGTTTCCAGTGTCTTGTGTATCTACGAGTACTAAACAGCGATACCTCATGGTACCCTGTAGTTCATGCTTTTTCAAGCCGCTGACCCAGCCTCCAAAACAGCTTCCAAATGTTTGAACCAACCTGTGGTTGATTGGCCACTGAAAAATATCAGTGGACAAGCGGAGCACAAAGAAGAAATGGACACAGTGATGGCATGCCATTTTTCTTGAGATTTCTTGTCAAAATTATACCAGCGTTGACCCCAAACAGATGTAGAAAATCTCAATTATATTTTAGTTTGCGGCAAAGGATATCATTTCGGCATCCTTCCCTGCATTTATTGCCCGCCCTGCCCCATGCGCCCCAAGGAACCCAGAGTGGGAGACAAGTGTGGGAGACACGTGTGGGAGTGGGAGACAAGTGTAAAATCATGCGGCCCAAGAAAACCAAAAGTGGGAGACAAGTGTGGGAGACAAGGGGGAGACAAGTGTAAATTCATGCGGCCCAAGGAACCCAGTGTGGGAGACAAGTGTGGAAGACAAGTGCGGGAGACAAGTGGGAGACAAGTGTAAAATCAGGCGCTCCAAGACACCCAGAGTGGGAGACAAGTGTGGGAGACAAGTGGAAAACAAGTGTAAACTCATGCGGCCCAAGGCACCCAAGTGTGAGAGACAAGTGGGAGACAAGTGTAAAATCATGCGTCCCAAGGCACCCAGAGCGGGAGACAAGTGTGGGAGACAAGTGGGAGACAAGTGTAAACTCATAGACAAGTGTAAACTCATGCGGCCCAAGGAACCCAGAGTGGGAGACAAGTGTGGGAGACAAGTATGGGAGACAAGTGTGGGAGACAAGTGTAAACTCATGCGCCCCAAGACATCCAGAGTGGGAGACACGTGTGGGAGACGAGTGGGAGACAAGTGTAAAATCATGCGGCCCAAGACACCCAGAGTGGGAGACAAGTGTGGGAGACAAGGGGGAGACAAGTGTAAACTCATGCGGCCCAAGGAACCCAGAGTGGGAGACAAGGGGGAGACAAGGGGGAGACAAGGGGGAGACAAGTGTAAACTCATGCGGCCCAAGGAATCCAAAGTGGGAGACAAGTGTGGGAGACAAGTGGGGGACAAGTGGGAGACAAGTGTAAACTCATGCGACCCAAGGCACCCAGAGTGAGAGACAAGTGTGGGAGACAAGGGGGAAACAAGTGTAAACTCATGCGGCCCAAGGCACCCAGAGTGGGAGACAAGGGGGAGAGAAGTGTAAACTCATGCGGCCCAAGCAACCCAGAGCGGGAGACAAGGGGGAGACAAGTGTAAACTCATGCGGCCCAAGGAACCCAGAGTGGGAGACACGTGTGGGAGACAAGTGTGGGAGACAAGTGTGGGAGACAAGTGTAAACTCATGCGGCCCAAGGTACCCAGAGTGAGAGACAAGTGTGGGAGACAAGGGGGAGACAAGTGTAAACTCATGCGCCCCAAGGCACCCAGAGTGGGAGACAAGGGGGGGACAAGTGTAAACTCATGCGGCCCAAGGCACCCAGAGTGGGAGAAAGGGGGGGACAAGTGTAAACTCATGCGGCCCAAGGAACCCAGAGTGGCAGACAAGTGTGGGAGACAAGGGGGAGACAAGTGTAAACTCATGCGGCCCAAGGAACCCAGAGTGGGAGACAAGTGTGGGAGACAAGTGGGAGACAAGTGTAAACTCATGCGGCCCAAGGAACCCAGAGTGGTAGACAAGTGTGGGAGACAAGTGTGGGAGACAAGTGGGAGACAAGTGGGAGACAAAGGGGAGACAAGTGTAAACTCATGCGGCCCAAGGTACGCAGACTGGGAGACAAGGCGGCCCAAGGAACCCAGAGTGGGAGACAAGTGTGGGAGACAGGTGTGGGAGACAAGTGGGAGACAAGGGGGAGACAAGTGTAAACTCATGTGGCCCACGGAACCCAGAGTGGGAGACAAGGGGGAGACAAGTGTAAACTCATGCGGCCCAAGGAACCCACAGTGGGAGACCAGTGTGGGAGACAAGTGTGGGAGACAAGTGTGAGAGACAAGTGTAAACTCATGCGGCCCAAGGCACCCAGAGTGGGAGACAAGGGGGAGACAAGTGTAAACTCATGCGGCCCAAGGCACGCAGAGTGGGAGACAAGGGGGAGACAAGTGTAAACTCATGCGGCCCAAGGCACCCAGAGTGGGAGACAAGGGGGAGACAAGTGTAAACTCATGCGGCCCAAGGCACGCAGAGTGGGAGACAAGGGGGAGACAAGTGTAAACTCATGCGGCCCAAGGCACCCAGAGTGGGAGACAAGGGGGAGACAAGTGTAAACTCATGCGGCCCAAGGCACCCAGAGTGGGAGACAAGGGGGAGACAAGTGTACAAGGCACCCAGAGTGGGAAACAAGGGGGAGACAAGTGTAAGCTTATGCGGCCCAAGGCACCCAGAGTGGGAGACAAGGGGGAGATAAGTGTAAACTCATGCGGCCCAAGGCACCCAGAGTGGGAGACAAGGGGGAGACAAGTGTAAACTCATGCGGCCCAAGGTATCTAGAGTGGGAGACAAGGGGAGACAAGTGTAAACTCATGCGGCCCAAGGCACCCAGAGTGGGAGACAAGGGGGGGACAAGTGTAAACTCATGCGGCCCAAGGCACCCAGAGTGGGAGACAAGGGGGAGACAAGTGTAAACTCATGCGGCCCAAGGCACCCAGAGTGGGAGACAAGCGGGAGACAAGTGTAAACTCATGCGGCCCAAGGCACCCAGAGTGGGAGACAAGGGGGAGACAGGTGTAAACTCATGCGGCCCAAGGCACCCAGAGTGGGAGACAGGGGGAGACAAGTGTAAACTCATGCGGCCCAAGGCACCCAGAGTGGGAGACAAGGGGGAGACAAGTGTAAACTCATGCGGCCCAAGGCACCCAGAGTGGGAGACAAGGGGGAGACAAGTGTAAACTCATGCGGCCCAAGGCACCCAGAGTGGGAGACAAGGGGGAGACAAGTGTAAACTCATGCGGCCCAAGGCACCCAGAGTGGGAGACAAGGGGGAGACAAGTACAAGTGTAAACTCATGCGGCCCAAGGCACCCAGAGTGGGATGCAAGCCTGGAGACAGAGGCAAAATCATGCGGCCCAGGGATGCAACCCTTTGAAAGGAGTAAGAACCCCATACAGGTAAGCCTGTTTGGGGAAAAACATCCAGGGACTCCAGGGACTTTGGTCCGTTCGGGAATGAGTGGGAACCGGAATGAGTGGTTCTGGTTTCCCCAAGTTCTGGAAGTTCAATCGGAAACATGTGGAAGTTCTGGGCCCTGCAAGTACAAACTGCGCAAGAGCCCCGCTGTCCGAATATTGTGATTACTGGAGTTCACCCCAAATCATCCCCTCCTTCCATGCGCGTGATCAGCTCAGCATGTTGCCGTTGCAACACCTGCGTTGCAAGCTGATCCCGTGGTGAGACACCAAAATCGAGATCTACACATGGCTCCCATCAATGATCAATCCTTCCATATGCTTAATTTCAGTCAACACCACCTGAGCTCTATTGTCGAATGATAGGTGTCCACTAGGACTTAGGACTCACCATAACTGCCGAGCAGTGAAAAGAAACACGAGCTCTATGTCCCAAGGTCTATCTTAGTGAGCGGAAGTAGTCTGTTTTTGCTCTTGCAAAAGTCGTTTTTTACAAATAAACGTAGACCCCGGTTTCTCGTTTCTCAGTTTTCGGGGTCTACGTTTGTTTCCGCGAGTGTATCTCATTCATTGACTCAAAGTTTTTCAGAACAGGGACTTCAATGATCCAAATTTTTCAAGAGCTGTGTGCAGCACATACAACTTCTGATTCGTTGCAAAACATTCCCATCTTTCTGGATTGTATCCCATTTTTGTTGGTGAATCTGTCCCCACATATCATCATATCACCATGTATAATTACATTATAATATGTATATATATATATATGTATATATATATATGTATATATATATATATGTATGTATATATATATATTTATTTATTTATTCATTTATTTATTCATTTATTTATTCATTTATTTATCTATTTATATCATGATGTCCTCAAATCTTGCCACATCTTGCTACATCTTTTGCGTTTGGACCCCTAACAGAATACCGCAATCCGCTGCAATTCTGCGGCTGTTTTGGACCTTCTCTACGGCTTCGTCGTCCATGTCGTTCATGTGCTTCGGACACCCGCCGAAGACACAGAGTCTTGGGACTCAAACCGACAAAAAAAACGCGGATGTGTTGTGAAATTGTGACACCCGGACTGGCCCAAACTGGCCAAACTCATGAAAAACCTGAATATTCCGCTTTGGCAGCTGCATGAGTGTTTCAAGTGGCAACCTTGAGTTTGCATCACCGTGCAGAAGTGACCTACATGACATGGACGCCATAGTGATTTATTACATGGAGCCTGGAGCCATGACATTGTCGTGACATTTGTCCAAAATGTGGAAGAAACCATGCTGTCATAGTGACAATCGGCTATCATGCTATTTAACAATCATCCAAAGGTCCAAAGGTATTGTGCAACTACATCTGGTTCCGGTTTGTCGCATCTGGTGACCTTCCTGTCAACGGAAACCTCACATGGAAAATCAGAACATTCTGCCAACTTCTACAACTGGGAAGATCTTTTTGCCCGAGGCAACGCGAGGTTGATCGAGCCATGCCACTTTGGTTTCGCTCTCTGCCTGCATTTACAAATGACCAACTACGGACTTAAGATTGTAGCGCTGCAGAACCATACTTTATATTTCTGGAAAGGGAAATCATGTCCCACTTTTGCAGACTGCGAGAAGCCAACCAGAGCTGTGGCAAACACTCACTGAGCAGAATCTGCTGTGTGCACCGCAAGCGTTAGCGTTGAAAACTTTGGCCGCACAAGAGGAAGAAAGACGAAATATGAGATAATTATATACACATGGTTCGTCATTCGCCATGGCCATTTCTGTGACATTGAGTTTCGAAGTATGTCATGCACAAGTTGCGAAGCAAAAATATGTGCAACAGAATTAGGTGTGCATATGTTGATATGGAGTTGCGTCAAAATTCGGGTATGGATCGGCCCGCGGTGATCCAGACGTATGGATCGGTCTGGATCACTTGGGTTTTGGTATGGATCGGGGGTATGGATCGGCCTGTGGGTTCAGGGTATGGATCGGGGCTTTACATTTTGACTCGTAGCCATATATATATATATATATACATATATATATCAAAATATCTCGAAAAAACGTTGTTCGTTTCAATCTGGAGCATTTCTATTTGTAATTTGCTGCATTTTGGAGCTAAAATCTCTCATTTGCGCGCTAATTATTTGGAGCATTTTGGAACTAGAATCCCTAATTTGGACGGTGTTTGCAACATTTTGAACCTTGGATCTCTTGTTGGCAGAAAATGCGCAGCATCTTGGAACCAGTTTTTGCACAATGACAATATATGATCAATCTCGAAAACCCTAGGTTCACGGAAAGGACATCCACAAATTTGGGAAGGTCATACGTTTGTACAATAATGATATATAGTAAACTTGGGGGGTATCGCTTGCAGGAAACTGCTACATTTTTATATGTATAATTCACAGACATCAACGTCCAATTTGGGTATCGCTACTGTGGATATTAGAGAAATACAATGACATAACCTTGAAAAGGGGTATCGCTAATTTGGGAAGGTCCCATCGCTTACCGCGTGTTTTTAACAATTTCCATCAATTTCCATAAACCAATGTCCGTCCAATACATATTTAGTATTGCCGGGGTTTTTGCGGTGGCTCATAATCATGCTTACCATAAAGTGAAATCTCTTATTTGCGTGGTATTTGCAGCATTTTGAAAAGTGAAACCTGTTCTCATTGTTACCACAATCGCAGCATCATGTTGTGTTTTTCTCTATTCATGTTTTTTGGGGAAATTATTTCGGATTAGTTTAAAGCTGGCTTATTGTAGTTTGGGTTATTTTGTTTCAAAGAAAAAGCGGAGCGGAGGATTTCAGCGGAGGGCGCAATGCCTCCCCCCGAAGCGAGCCAAAAACAACAAAAGCCAAAGAAGCCAAGAAGCTAAGAGGCCGAGAAAGCAAAAGTCACAAAAACCAGAAAAGCCACAAAAACCACAAAAGCCAAGAAGCCAGACTAAAAAACAAGCAAAAAAATGCAAAAAAAAGTTACTCCTCCACAAAAATGCCGAACACGTCAAAACACCAAATGATTGGATATGGTTGGATACCTCCAGCTGGTGTTGAACAAGTATCACTTATCAAATCACCAAGAAGTACCCAGCCAGTAACGCCCACGCCATCTTCCTGCGGAAAATCCATGAAAGCCACATGGTTCTTGGAACAAAGCTGACCCCTCGGGGCCTTTTTTTATTGGTAGCCTGGTTTTTCTATGCTATCCCCCTCTCTCTCAACACATCTTGGAATTCTTCAAGAACCAAGGCCACTGATCTGCATAGATCTGCATAGTGGAGGCATAGTGGAGGCACACGCGCATCACTCGCGCCGCGCCGCGCTTTCGGGGCTTCACCGGCTAAAGGGCACGCTCTGTGGCGCGGAGCCCCAACCAGCACCCGCCTGGACGCTGAGATTTCAGTCGTCATTATTATTTCGTCATTTCAGTCGCCACGGTAGGTCTAGTTCTAAGATCTAAGATTATTCAATGGGAATTTCAGGATCCTAAAATGGAGGTACTGTACCATTTTTCAGGCCATATTTTGGGGGAATATTCCCTTACATATTCAATTTCCAATTTCTTCAATAAAAAAATCCCAGAAATGACCGCCCCAGATCCTGCCGTCCCAACCCGAAAGAAGTTGACCAAGACATTGCACAGGATGTGGTGATATCCTGTTGCCTCGACAGTGCACCACCGAGCCACTGAGCCCACGAGTTTCCCGTCCGTGTCGTGTCCGTGTTGTGTCTACCCGCTGCTAAATAGATAGATTACGAATGATTATGATAGATCTACAGAAAAACTCCTACATTGAAACAGGACTGTACTCTTGTGGCTATTTGGCAACCATGGAGCCTCTAGAAGCAAAACAAAAACAACAAGTAGTTCTTGCAAAGCAACTTCCCTGAAACACAATGAAACATACCATACTTTATGGTATGTTTCTCATGATGTCTCCTTGAAACTGACATGTTTCCATACCAGTCATACCATACTTTTCGATGTTCTTTGGGATCTCGATCCACAATATCCACAATCTGCCAGGCTGCTCGAGGTGGTTCAGTATAGAAGGCATCTTCAGTGTCCGAGTCCATGGCGTGGTACTCAACACCTGTCGGCAGCTTAGCACAGCCACGGACAGCGACACCTCTGGGTGTCCCTCTCTCCCAAGATTTGAAGTTTGGCTTCCCAACTGGCTACTCTGTCACCACCATCCATATCATTTCCTCAGCAAATTCACCAACCACAGCAGGCTTCTGTTTATTTCTGTTTTTTCTTGCCGCAATCGAACAACACGCAAAGGCTTCCAGAAGCGTTGCTGCTTAGTCAATCAGCATCTCCAATCATCTCCCTGTTTGATGCAAGATCTAAAGTAATCCTATAGTTGAGCCACAAGCACACCTAATCAGCAATTTGAACGACCATCTCTTGCCGTCAAAAATGTTCCATACATTTCCCATGGAAACTGACCATGGCTTCGTGGTGTCGTCTCCTGCCATCCAACTTGGGCACCCTCGCTGTATGGACTCCGGTCACCTACTCGTGGCCTCAGAGGCAAATGGGTCCCAAATTCTCCCTGAAAAAACAATTCCATCCACTGGTTCATCATCATGTCCCCCATCCAAAAGCTATACATATATATAGATATATATATATAGATATAGATATATATATATATACATATATACATGTTAATATAAATATATATATATATATACATATCTATATATATATATGGAAATATAGATATAGACTTATAGATCTATAGATATATATAATATAATATAATAAAATATAATATAAACATAAATGTAATATAATATAATGTAATGTAAAATAATATAATATAACAAAATAAAATATAATAAAATATAATATGACAAAATATATCATAATATAATATATTACATAATATATTATATATTGTTTGATATATTATATATATAATAATAAAATAAAATAATATGGGAAAAAATAATCCTTAATATAATATAACACAACAAATTGTAATATAATATAATATAATATGATATAATATAATATAATATAACAAAAAATAATATAGTATAATATAATCTACAAATATATATATATATATATATATGTATTCACATTTAAAAACTCTCATTTGCAGACCCAAAAATCATTTTGGCAAAGAATAATTTCACCGAGATTGAAGACCCCTGGCAAATGCATCACGCACGGATCAGCTGAGTTTGGGCCCCTTGGCAGTCGTCTGTCGTCCTCTGCCGTAAAACCTGCCGATGGCCCACACTAACTTGCTGCAATTGAAATACCATCAGTACACCAAAACCGGTTTGATATTGTGCTGAAATAGGAATAGAACTCTGGCTGGTTGAGATCCCAGGGCAGGGCGGGAAAATGCATGTTTCAAAACCACGGACCACACTGACGATCTACCCCACAGTCACACAAATGCTGGTTACCCAGGACATTTAGATTCGGAGCCCCCTACTATCTGACATTATCTGACCCATCCAAGAATGCAACCCGCCTATGTCCGGCGTTGTTTCCGCCTTGGGCGGTAAGCGTGTTGCGCTTGCGGAAGGGCTGCGGAAGCCACCACAACCAATATCTCATCATCTCATGGAAAAAACATGAACACCGTTGCAAGGAACATGCAAAAAGGATACCAGATTAGATTCTGCAAGTTCCCTTTGCGAAGATCTCTGTAGAAGCTGCTGTGCAAGATCCCTCTGAAAGCCTATCTGCACAAGGTGTCTCAAAGAGATTTCCACAGAAAATATCTGTAAGAGATCTGTAAGTAAGCTCTCTGTGCAAGCTCTCTAAAAATAGATCTCTGAGCAAGATCCCTGTTCTTTTCACCAGGTCTTTGCACAAGATCTTCATAAGAGGTCTCCTGGAATGATCTCTGCACAAAATTTCTATGAGAGGTCTCTTGGAAAGATCTCTGTAAAAGCTCCCTAGTGTAACAGACCTCTTGGCAAGATCCCTGCAACAAATCTCTATGCAATGTCTCTGTCTGTACCAGAACTCTATAAGAGATCTCCTGGCAAGCTCTCTGCACAAGATCTCTACAAGAGGTCTCTTGGCAAGATCTCTCTATGATATCTCTGTAGAAGCTCTCTATAACAGCTCTCTTGGCGAGATCTCTGCACAAGCTCGCTATAACAGGTCTCTTGGCAAGATCTGTGCACAAGATCTCCAAAAGAGCTCTTTGTACAAGATCTCTACAAGAGGTCGCTTGTCAAGATCTCTGCGCAAGCTCTCTATAAAAGACCTCCTTGTCAAGATCTCTGCACAAGACCTCCCTGACTTTCAAAATTCGCAATACGCCACAACGAGAGCGATCTAACAGGCCCAAAGTGCCGAAAAGGTTGGGCGAGGGATCCAAAAATTTTGCACCGTGCCACAACAAGAGCGATCTAACAGGCCCAAAGTGCCCAAAGGGTTGTGCGAGGGATCCAAAAAAATTTGCACCGTGCCACAACAAGAGCGATCCGATACGCCCAAAGTGACAAGAGGGTTGCGCGAGAGGTCTCGTTTCGTGCGAGGTTTCCGTCAAAAACGGAAGATGAAGGAGCTTTTGTGTTGTAAGGGTCACCAAATTTGCCGGACACGGAGACCACCTCGAAGGAACACCCGGCCTTAACAACTCTTACCGTAAGAACAGTGTGGCCACACTGTTTGGGGAATGAAAAAAAACGTCATGACATCATCTTCTCTTCCAATAAGTGCCTACTTTGAAAGGCTCAGGATCCCCTCAGTACATCTGCCCGTATCTGCCCATACGAGTATCTGCTCTATCATCACAGCCGAGCAGCAGGGGAAGTCAATCGCAGCTGGGCAGCAAGTTGCCGAGCCAGCTCCTGTTGCGACACTGTACTAAGTCACATTGGTAGAACAGAATCAAACATCAACTAACAGCAGTTCTAGCCACTCTGATATGAGAACATTCAAACAAACGGCTGAAGCAGATGACTATTTTCGAATCTGGATCGAAACTGATCAAACGAGGTCGCTATCCTCATCCCCGGCCAGTTCTTGTTGCCGCCGCCGGCGTTCATCGTCATCCTGCGTGTCCATGCTGCCCACTTGGATGACTCAAATATCTCAAATGACCTATCCCAGAAGACCATAGGAGACCTTTTTTTGTGCATAGGAACCATTTAAGAAATGGTACACCAAGTGCGTTACCAGTTGAGGTACAAAAAAAACAATCATACTGAATCATACTCACAACCCAACTCCTGCAGTTACGGGATAAACATAAATCAACTGGTACTAGGGTATATCAACGTGATCAACCAGTGATCACAACCAAACTCGACTGTTGGATGTCACATTAAACATTCTCAACGGGAGTTATTGATATATGTATATTAATATCATACATATATTTACATATATGTATATATATACCCCGTATCTAGTATGATCATATATATATATACATATATATGATCATATAATTTCTGTATGTTTCTGTATGGCAATACACATCATCAGTATATTTTTCCATCAACGAATGGAGCGAATGTTTCGCGGCTCCTCCGGTCGACCTGGGGGATAGGCCAAGGTGGAGCCAGTGGCACCGCCGGGTGGAGGTGCTCGCCTCGCTGATGGGATGAATGCTATGGAGACACACGTGTACAAGCATGGATTCCCTGGATGTATACATATACATACGTATATATAATATAACATAACATAACATAATATACTATACTATACTATACTATTTACGTATATATATATATACAAATGTATCCGAGTACACATATGTGGATATAGTCCCTTGGATCAAAAACCCTTGGATCAAAAACCCTGGGATCATTCCCTCCCTGCATCCCAGGTCTGGGTCTCAGGACTCAAAGGTGTCGAGGGGAACCGCTTCAGTCGACCTCGTGGCTGCCGCACCAGTCGCACCAGTCGCACCATAACATGTGCATCTTACATGTGAGCCAACCCTTTGAACTCAAAACAAAAGATTCAAACAATTATAATATATATATATATATGTATGTATTATATATATATATTATATAATACATATTATATAATAAATTATATGTATATATAATATAATATATATATATATTATATATATATTATATATATATTATATATATATATTATATTATATATATATTATATATATATTATATATATAATCTGTATTATATATATATATTATAATATGTCGTATTGCGTATTATAGAGAGAGAGAGATGGGTTGCGGGGATGTTCATATCTCTGACGTGCAAAGTGAAGACTCAGCAGGATTCTGGAGATCTTTGGCAGGGAGAATTCGTTGTGCATCAACTTCCTCAAAGCCCACATCTAAGCTACAAAACAGATGCTGAAGCCATTGGCTACCCCAAACTTTAATGTGTAAAAATGTGTAGAGACGCAAAAGAAAGAATCCTCAATAATCATAAATAATCCTCAATAATCATCAATAATCCTCAATAATCATCAATAACCGTCAATAATTCTCAGTGTTCATTAATGATCGAAAGCAAAATCGTTGGGTTGGTGGTTCCAAGGGTGTCAGTCACCAATCCCACTTCTGCTGAGGCTCCCCACATCCCCGCCTGAGCTGCAGCCGTAGGGCCTGCAGGTGACAAGCTTTTTTTCAGGGGAACCAATGGTCAGCCACTGCGAAATGCTACGTCAAAATGAGGTGGAATCAAGTTGGTGCCTTTTTCAAAGATGGGTCTATCCAGAGATGTGCCATCTCTGTCAGGTTTTTTTACTGGATCCCCGGTTGCTTACATCCCCATCAAACGCTCGCGCAGCTCAAACGTGGGAATCCCTGGGATCGTCTTTATGCGCCTCTTTGCCCAGCAGCGCTCAGGAAGCCACTGAGCCAAGCAAGCCACGTATTGAAGCCAACGTGGGGACCTAAAAAAAATGATTGAAAAACAAGTTGGGTATGCCTGAAGCAAGAAAAAATCTGATAAAACGTGGGATTGAAAAGGCTTCCTGATTTGGAGGCAACCCCAAATGCATGATAATTCATGTATATTTCATCATGCCTGGGAGTAGAAAGTTCAAGCAGTTGGAAAACACCAGTTGTGGTGAACAATTCAGGACTGGATGTTCCAACGCCCGGAACGGTGAATGACACGTCAAGCACTCTACATGGTCTGGGCTCTGAAAACATCCGACTCGGGAATGCAGCTGGGTCCTTTTTCTGCCGCTTGAAAACTCGCTAAGTCGCTGTTCGATTCAGGATTCTGCAGCTGGTGCTGGTGGCTCAGTTGCGTCGCCTTTGCTGCGGAAGATCAAAACCAATCCAGCTGAACATCGCCCAGAACCCAGAATGCTGTGGCAGCAACAAGTCTTGGGCATGAGATGTTGATCTTGGCTCCAGCTGAAGATCCTTTTGATAAACCACATTGACCATGAAAGCTCCCAAGAACCTTGAAGCCAAACCAAGAGTTCCCTCATGAAACTTTGCAACTTGATCAAAACAACTTCCAATTGTGGGAAAGCCAACTGGATGCACAACTAAAATGAACCATCAAATAGCAGATGCTGAAGATTTACCTCATCGACATGCGCCAAGACAGACCAAGCACTGGCACAGCTACTCTGAGCCGGAGAGAATCTCCAGACACACAACAAATGTTTGCGTCTTGTCATCTACGGCCTGCGATGTGGCGCTGCTGAAGGGGGAAAACATTGAAAAGTTTACACACAGAAACATGGATACGCTCTGCAAAAATATGAACGGTATTTAGATCTATTGCTCGGTGACACGATATCTTGACTGGCACACTCAGCAAAAAAATGCAACTCAACACCACCCAAGCAAAAAATGGTTGCCCCCTGAGGCTGGGGAAGCTTGAAAGGTAAATTTAAGAACCCTAGTGACCAGTCCATTGACATAACTGCGAAGCTGCTCTCTTACCTATGTCCCTTTTCAAATAATCCCTTCCTCCTAATACTAAACGTCCCCCTAATACTAAAAACAGGCATCCATCTCCAATTTCCGAAAATTTCAGTTTGGCCAATTTGACTTTTAATTGATCCCCTTTAAACAACAATTCAAAAATCAACCTACCATTTGTGGGTTCTCCCCCCTAATACTAAAAACTAATTCATCCCGGGGTGTTTAGTATTAGGGGGGCTAGTTTTTAGTATTAAGGGTTTTAATTTAGTATTAGGGGTAAGCTTCGAACTGCCATTTTTGGCAATATTTTAATTGCGTTATATAAGGAAATTTAATTGATTTTGAGATCGGAAAAAATAGTTTTTAGTATTAAGGGTTTTAATTTAGTATTAGGGGTAAGCTTCGAACTGCCATTTTTGGCAATATTTTAATTGCGTTATATAAGGAAATTTAATTGATTTTGAGATCGGAAAAAATAGTTTTTAGTATTAAGGGTTTTAATTTAGTATTAGGGGTAAGCTTCGAACTGCCATTTTTGGCAATATTTTAATTGCGTTATATAAGGAAATTTAATTGATTTTGAGATCGGAAAAAATAGTTTTTAGTATTAAGGGTTTTAATTTAGTATTAGGGGTAAGCTTCGAACTGCCATTTTTGGCAATATTTTAATTGCGTTATATAAGGAAATTAATTAATTAATTAACATGACTTCGATTTGGTTCCCTAATAATAAATACCCCCCTAATACTAAAAACTACCTGCCGTGTTTTGTATTAGGGGGGGGGGGTTTAGTATTAGGAGGAAGGGATTAGATGTGTTTCTATACCTGAAAAATCACTTTGTATCCAAAGTCCGAAAATTCAAAAGGCATCTGCTGTCCCACTCCACCTTACCAAAGTCCCAGTCATCCTGACCCGCAGGAAGGCCGCAAATGTTTTTCCTTAGCTCCAAGCCGTCGCAAATCATCACGATATGGTTTGGTATGGGCAAGTACCCGTTTGGTGGGTTTTTGACGCGTTTTCCTCCATCTTGTATGCAAGATCAAGCCAAGCATGAGGAGGAAAAAAAAACATACAAGTTCCTCTGCTCTACACCTTTCCTATCCTATCTATGTTCCTTGTCCGGATGTGGGGGATGTGGGTATGTCAGGGTTCGTCTCAAAATTGGGTACACCAAAACCCCTATGCTTTCTCAATAGCTTGGGCCCATCCTTGAGAAATCCCAATCGACGGTCAAATTGAGGTCCAGAACTCGAGGGTCCAGGACTATGAACCACTAGAGTTCATCATCTTCCCATCAATTTGCCATAAATGTTGATAAATTGATATCAATTTTCCATCAAAATGTCCATCAAAATTATCCTTTGATTTCATCAAAATGGCCAAGCATCTCCGAGAAGTCATGGCGCACGGGGCCACGCGGTTTCAGCTGCTTGGCAGCCTGGTTTTTGACATGGAAAAAACAATTGGTGATTTAGCCATAGAAATTGTGGTGTTTCACCATGTTTAACCATGTTTAACCCTGTTTAACCATGTCAAACCATATGTTAAACCATCAAAATACATGGATTTTTATGGATTTGACTGGTTCAAACATCCACAATGAGGTCTGGTGTCAACCCCGAAGTAACAAACCCACAAAAAGTCACAAAAGTTGATAGTAGGGGGATCCATTTCAGTAGCAAGTTGTCTGCAGGGGTGGTAGGGTTTCCGAATCACATCCTCTGAGAGATTGAAACTACCCGCACGTCAAACACAGTGGGAAATCCCCCAACATCCCCCAACTAAATGGACATTAATGTGAAAATCTGAAAACATGTCCATCATCTGGCTGGACATGAATCCCCGAAAATATCCGAAAACGTGGTATAGCTTTTTGAGCCATTCCCTGCCATTCCCATCATCACCATTGGTGCCTTGTCGCTCCCCACTCCCAGGCGGAAGGTGACGACCGGCTTGGTGCCATCATCGGACTCCGCCATACAACGCAGTTGGATGTTGCCACGTCCACGAGACCTGGAGCCATGGATGAAGCGAAGCGTGCAGCCCAACAAGCATTGCGCAAACGGGATTGGCTCAATGACTTGCCGTACGTTTTTCAGTTTGCTAGTGACTGCTAGTGTATTGAGAATGTATAGCACGGGAACCCTTGAAGTGTCATGTACTTCTTGGTGTGGAACTTCTTCTTGCCCCTTTGTTGCTATCAAATTGGAACTGTTGATTTGACATGATTTGACAGGGTAGCAGTTTGCCTCTTGAAGCTGGCGCCACCGCGCTCTTGTGCCACCGCCCGCGGACGCATGATCATCTTGAAGGGCACAACGCCTAAAGGCAAGGCAAGGAGCGAGATTCGGTTCCCCACGGTGAGTTGATATCACCAGTTCCAACGACATCGGCAGCCTCCAGAGAAGGTCAGATCAAACTGAGGGGAAACCGCCTCCTTGTCGGTGCTCTTCAGCTTCCTATGGGCCATGGTTGAAAAAATGCAATCAACTGAGTCCGCAATGCCGCAAGCAATGGTCCTGGCATCCACTGTCCAACGTATGCGGTAGACATTGCTGGCCACGCTGAAGGCGCGCTGCAAGACCTTCCATGGCTTTTGAGTTCGACGGGATCCCCCGCGCCTGGTGTAATCAGATGTTTCTTGTTCTTTGGTTTTGATATGGGGGTTTGAATGAAAATTTGGGCATTCAAACCCAGCCGATAGCCATTTTCCATAGGGAACATTTACCGATTGACCGGTGGATGGAATGGGGTACTGCAATCAGGGGAGCACCTTGGTTCGGTATGACCACATGAAACCTCAGAGTTCAACCTCAGCATGCTAAAATCAGGACAGTCGCAGCAGTCGCAGCAAAATTCGCCAGGTGATCATTTTTTGGGGTACCCCAATCATTGGATGATACTAAAAATAGACCATCTGTGGTACCCATTGGTACCCCAGGTCTTGAATTTCGACCCCAACTGGATCAACCGATGAGACCAGAAATCGCCCGGCCTGTGCTCGCTTGTTGTCTGCCGTGGTAGTCACACCAATGGAAGAGATATCTGGCCGCGGAGATTCCACAGGTCGCCCAGTGAAAAACACCCAAGGCCGTTACCGCACCTGGCATGGGAAGTTGCTCCATAGCGCCAGGAAAGCGACCGAAGCGATCCATAGGGACAGCAAAGCAGCCTGAAGCTTCGTCGATGTCAATGCTAGGAGCTCCAGGTATCGATCTCACCAGAAACACCGTAGAATAGGCTTTGATCCATCTCCAGATGGGGAGTTTTTTTTACCTTGTTATGGTGATCATATTTTATCCTGCAGTGAAACCTCTAGTAGAACTGGATTCAGAAGACGTCTAACGGAATGTGAATGTGGCTATGACTTTCCAAGTTCCTGGCCCTGCCTGCAGGATAGCACATGTCTTGGACCGGCACCACGTAGCCAGGCATTGCTTCAATGGGAATCATCATCATCCCCACCGCCTGCAATACGGCGATGCAAAAAAGGGGTTGCTGCAGCTCAAAAGAATCCACGCTGTATTTTTGGCAAGGGTATGTTGGGCATCATTGTGGTTTGCTGTCTGTTTTGCTGTTGGAAACTGTTTCGGCATCATTCCGGTGTCAAGGACTGTGTCCAAGACACTGTTCCACATATGGACAGGGACAGCACCTCAAAAACCTCTGGTGGAAAGAAGCAAACCGGGACATTTCCTTCCATTAGAGCCAGTATGTTAACATACAGTATATGAAAATACATGAAGACATATGAAGATATGTGAAGATATGTGAAGATATATGAAGGGGTAAGGGTCGAAAGCCGGACACCCTGGCTTTTCGCATCCCAAGAATGCTACCAGAGCAATTGGAATGTCACACATGTCCAGGCCTCCTGCTCAGCTGGATACTCCTATGGGCGGGACAAAGCTCGTTCTTGTTGCAACACCCCTGAAAACTTTGATGTTGAAATCTCTGAAAAATCTCAGGTTTGAATATGAATTTCCATGAATTTCCCATCAGAAATTCCAACTTCTTCAGCATTCACAGGTCCGAAGTTCCTGAAGATCTCCAGCTGTCGAAACAGCCCAGCTGTCCTGCTCTTGCAGCTCCTCGTGTTGTTCTTCCACAGCCTCCAAGTGACGGCCTGGCATCCGATGCATCCGAGCCATGGAGAGCTGCATGATATGTCCCAATTATTGCTGCATAAATCACGTTGAATTCATGTTAAGTCATGTTAAGTCATGTTGGATCCCAATGTTTGCTGGGTATTGCCATTGAAAGCCACATTTCTTGATGATGACTGGATGACGACCATGGATAACCATGATTGCCAGATCTTTTGGTGGGAGTCCAGGTGCATCCAAGTAACCTTGCAGCCAGTCCCAGTTCCTGTCTTCCCTGAGGCGCTTCGGTGGCCACTAGCATCAGCAGCTGGGATTCGGGGAAAATCTCTGAAATTACCAGCAACCCGTTGGACCCATCATCCCAGTGACTCAGTGCCAGGGGGTTTACCATTCATACCAACGTGGTTGCTGCCAACAGGCTCGACACATGGAATTTACCATTGCAGGCACGCTTGTTGGCTAGCTACTTTGTCAATGACAAAGCTCGAAGAGACTACTTGGGGAGAGAACACCAAGACGAAAGAAAGGTATCTTACCATATACGATTTCATTTAGGGTTTACATAAGTTATAAAAGGCCCCGGCCCCAAAGAACAAATACCCATATTTCTATTAAAAAGAGGGTTTCATTACAGGTTTACGCAAGTTAGAAAATCACCAGGCCCCATGGAACAAATCATACTTCTATTAGGGTTTCATTTAGGGTTTACGGGTTTCATTTGGGGATGCATACTGGCTGTGGAGGAGGCTAACATGGCTGTGGCAAGATGACATATGAACACTCCAGACTCGCCAAAAAAGTGAAAAAGAGGAAGAGGCCGAAACGCATGAAGTCCGCAGATGGTTCACTTTTCTGACTGATTTTTCTAAAAAATCGTCTTGGGACATACTAATGCACAAATGTACCAAGGTCATAAAACACTGCACCTACGCAGTGAAATGAGCCTGCTTAAGGTGTTAATCATTCCGTTCCGGGCAAACCATCAGTCCTGCCCATAAAATTATCAAGAGAATTGTCGGCGACTGAATGATGCCATCCAGCTTGGCTCAATTGTCTGCCAGATCTACAGATATGCCATGTACTGCATCTATGAAAATACCAGCGCGTATACTGCCAAAAAACATGTATTGGATTGTGTTTGAAGAACATTGGTATATGTCGAGATATGCCCCAACAAGTATAACAAGCAGCACCTTTTACACATGCACTTGGCAGATCGATTCTCAAACATCAGTAACCCCATATGGTCCATATGTTTCTCATCATGTCAGCAAAACATCTGTGTCCTCTCACCGCTGCCCAAGGATCTCAAAGGAATCGAAGGTCATGGTCTTGTAGAGACTACTGTCAATGGTCGGCAGGAAGTCCGCCTTCCATGGATTCCAAACATGTCGTCAGAGGTTGGAAAAATCCTCGGTTTTTCTCAACGATTCAAGGACCTCAAGGAACCTGAAGTTGTAAATCCAAATTGTCAAGCAGAAAATTAAAAACAATGAAAAACAAGTGCACACATCACAAGCTCCATTCGGTTTCCGTCACGCGCAGCACAGCGTCCTCCTCGAAGGGTTCGCAGGGTTCGTCATCCTCCTCAACCTCCTGTCACAGATGTCACAGAATCCGGAGGTTAAAGCTGAGCACAGCGCAGTCCCGTCCAGTCCCGTCCACTGCGTCCACTGCGTCCTTGGGTGGGGCTGGAACCGTGCTGGCACGTTGAAGATCTGATGCCCTGGCAAGGTGATGACATGTGATGACAGTGGTTGAAGAATCACCCAGGCTTCGGAAATGTGTCCATGTGGCCTGTGTGGTTTTGTAAACTAAAAAAATCACTGATCACTTTGAAATGGTTGGTTGATATTGGTTGAGATTGGTTGAGATTGGCTGATATTGGTCGATGTTGATGGTGATTTCCCATGATTTCCCCCTCTGATTTGGCCTGGCTCCATCGTCGAAATCCAGGAAGGTGTTTCGCACCACCCAGGTACCCTTGCCAACCACCTGCCGAAGTGCACCAAAAATTGGGGCAAACGCCACAACGTCTTTCATCTTCTTTCCATTATATAAAGTCAAAATATAAAACGAATCTAAAATGATAGTATACTATTAGTTACTGATAGTATACTACAACTCATGACAAGAGCAAAACAACAGAAGCAAGAGCTAGCAAGAGTCTCTAATCTTGCAAAGAACTGACTCTCCATCCTGCCGTCATCCACCTGCACGTTCTTTGACGGGGCACTTGGCTCAGCAGCGGCAGTGCTCACATTGATCCCCTCACCTGGGCTGATTGGCAGGGCTCAACCGCTGAGTTTTGATTTACCCACTGGTTATGGCTGACATAGCCATGGAAAGATCCACCATTTTTTATAGCTAAACCATCTATAAATGGGCCATTTTCCATGGCTATGTTAAATAACCAGAGGGTATATTGATTTGGTCGCCAGCTCCCACAACCCAAAGACCCCAAAGACCCCAAAGACAATGACAACGACAGTGCCTGCATATCCGCCACCAGCTGCTCGTGATGCCCCCATGGGGCCTATCAAAAGAGACATGGACTTTGTCCTAGTGAGAACTATGTAACTATTTCTCCACCTTCTGTCGTTGGTTTTGCTTTACTGTCCCATGATAGCGCCCTGCTGGGAGGTTTTTCCTCCCAAGGCATCTAGAAGTGGCTCTCGGCGATTGGTGGCATTTCACATGCTTCCATTCTCCAACCTGTCAAAATAGGTTTTAGGAATGTTTTAGGGCATTCTTTCAGTCAACCATGTGAAAAAGCAACTGAAGTAACTGCAGTAACTCAAGAAATCAAGGGAAAAATCACCAAATGTCCACCATGGTTCCACCCTCTTTCGGGTTTACAACCCGGAGCCCGTCCAGCCTTTTAGGAGACGCCTGCTGCGGATGCAATTGTGATCTGTCCATATCTGTCCCAAAAGGTTGAAATGTGGGACTGGGCAGCCCCTCTGCTACGGTGTTGTTGCTAACTGCGGCTTGTAGCATCACTAATACTCATCACATGTCTCCAACTTGTGTTGTTCGGTCCATATGCCATCCATCTTGCCCGCTCAGTAAATTCGCACCTGCGTTCCAAGGGCCTCAACTGCAATGCTTCAGCAAAGTCGTCGAAAATCTCCTCTTCGCCGATTTCCTCCATGTCTTTCGGTCCCATCCTCCGGTCGCTCGCCACGATCGCTGGTCCCGGCTCGCCCTGACCGAACCCGATATGTTCCCCGATGTTCCCCGCCTCTCACACCATTCCACAGCAGCTGCCAGGCATCGTTCCAGGCCAGCTTTCCGCAATTCATCTTCCAGGCCCGCCACTGCCATGGGAGTCGACTGCGGAAAATTTTGTGGGATCTCGATGGATCTGCTTCCAGGATTTTTTCAGGGACAGAAGCGGCTCGGAAAACTCTTCCGTCAAAGATCTGAGACACAGCGGAATGATTTGAGTGTTGGTCCCTGGTGTTATCGCGGGTGCCATGAGAAATCCAGCAGCTCATCCTGGATTAAAACAGACAAAGATAACTAGCCTTGAGGCAATCCTAGCACCGGGAATGGGATCTGTTTGCGGCCGTGTGCGCTGATCTTCGTGGCCATCTAAGCTGAAGCCAAAAGTGGAAAGCTTGACCCGCAAGGCCGAAAGACGTCTCACAATCGCGCAGTCCAGTGGTGCCAAATCTACAAAATGCATCAAAATGCATCAAAATGCATCAAAATGCACAAGTTCAAAGTTCGTCAGGAAAACAAAACTGTAACAAAACCCTTGTAGTCAAAAGAAGTGGGTACTTCCAATGAATCCCAATGAAATGCGTCTGATATCGATCCGAGGTCTTGGGCCTCCCTAGCGAAGCGTTGCTAGCCGTTGCTACCAAGGAAAGGCCCAAGCTGAAACCACCACAAGCTGCGCTGTTTTCCTTCCCCAGCTGTGCTTGAAAGCATCTAACGCGAGCCAAGCTGAATCCTGGTACACCCTTCATTCGGCCACTTTCCTGTAAGTATATAATGAATACAATGATAGTAAGTAGCAATAATAATCGTCATCATATCATCATAAATCATAATCATAATCATAATCATTCGTATCATCATCATGATAATATCATAAGTTATCATAATAATCATTCACAACAATTCTCAGGGAGACCACTTGGATGGCTCCGCACTGCACTTCTGGCAGAAAATCGCACCGGGCTAGAGGCGCGGGCGCGTCGGGGCGTCGCACGGCTGTAACGGGTTCCAAACCACGCCAAAAGGAGCCTCTGTGCAGCTTCCGTGACGAAGATTTCGAAGATTTCGAAGATTTCGAAGATTTCGAAGATTCAGGGAATGGATGGCATTCCATTTCGCAGAGTTTGCCAGTGGCATTTGCTGGCAACATCGAATGTGATGGAATCTGTTGATCAACAGTGGTCAACTCATCCAGCAGATAGCTACTAGTGAAAAGCGTTCGCCCTATCTCCACGACTCAGTGGTATGGTATGGGTAGTACACTTCAACGAAAGAGGAGTGCTACTGAAATCATCTGACCAGGGCCAGCTCAAAGAATAGCTGGCTGGCTGTGTCCACTCATCACCATGAATTTCACTGATTCATCACCCATGTCGGCGAAATTTCCTGAACCTTCGATATGTTCCTCGGTGAGACGCTCGGAAAATACGATTCTTGTTGGACCACTCAGCCACTGCCTAAGCCACAGTGGGATGGCGCTAACTTTCTGGATGGGACGTCAATCAACATGAGAATGTTGAGTCCTCGGATTCTCGGGCCCCATTCTAATCCAAAATGATCACTCATCCGTGATTTGGAGACCATCTTCTATTCCCAACTCATTGGTGTATCATGGACTGATACAACACATGGCCACTTGATACTGCATTGACACAGCGAAGAAGTGATGGGTCTCGCATTCGTATGTGTACTCGAGGATTAAAAAGTCTTCCAACTTTCCAACCTTGGCACCGAACGTTTAAGCCTTGATGTACACGAAAACTTGGTCATCTTCCTCGTTTCGGAAAATCCGAAGGTCATCGTCCAAGTACCTGAAAAAAGCGCCCACATCATGGATGAGCTCAAACACATGGATCTTGCCACCTAGATTCTGTTACTCCCATGAAAGATTATTCACATTCTGTGGACACGTTTACATTGTGACTATGTTAATGATCCACATAATGTAAATAATCCTTTCCACATTACTATGATCACTATATGAATAAGATAATCATTATTGGTCGACCAAACTCCAATGAAATCCCATTACTTTGTCAACGACAGCTGCTCCACACCCCGGCTTGGCTCACGTGATGCGCACGCGGACTTGGGCGTTTTCCCCCAGGAAGGACTGGCCATGCCGGAGCCATGGATTTTCGCCAGCATCGATGGTCACAGCTGAAGCCGGCTGAAGCCCCACCTCTGAAGGGAAAACAACTTGGTCGGCGAAAGGTAGGGTATTGTCCACCGCCTCGCAGCATCGCTCGGCAGATGGGCCTGGGATGGTGGCCTGGGATCCCACCGAAGATCCTGCCTGGGTGGTTTCAACGGTCATCAGCAACTCTGTGCCATCGGCGGAGGCCTCGTACCTGAAATCCATGGGGCTAACCGCTGCGCGCGCTGTAGATGGCTTTTTGATGATGGAATCATGATGGTTATCCTTGATCTTTAACCACAGAGGATAACTTCATCTCATCTTACCATCGAATCCATCCTGGCTTTAACTTCTAACAGTGGCAGGAAGGAGAACCTCTCGTCGCTAAAGCTTCGACTCCTTGGACAATCCCCAATCACACACATCTATTATACCAAGAGCTAAACCCAAAAAATAAACCATCCCCAAAAACACCATAAATATCCATAAATTGGGTAAACCCATCCCTACCACATTACAGATTTCTTCCGCATACCGTATACAGTAGACTGTACACATCTGTAAGATGACAGCGTTTTCTCGGAATGAAAGTCACCAAAAGTCACCACCGAAGTCTCAAGAGCCTGCTGGTGGTTGTCATCATGGTCTTCCCAGCACCGAACACCTGCGGAAGCGTCAGATTGGTTGACCAGAAATGGAAAGGGAAAGGACATGAAAGGGCAGGCTTTACATGTCGCCGCAGGAATCTTCTGAAGTGACTATGCCAGGGTCAGAAACTCATAAGATCAACCTGTTCCACTTCTGATGCGTTCCCGTTTGACAAGTGATCTTGGTCCAACACTCTCCCAACCCACACTCAACTTCTTAAGCTGAACCTCGACCGCGACGCGGTTCACCATCTTCCCATTGATTAAGCTTTGCGTTGCTTCTCCAACGGTCTTCAGTGGAATGCCTCAGCTGCGTCAGACACAAAAGTTGAAGCATCCACATAACTCCAAGATGTCATGAGAAGAGGAAAACATGTGGAACTTAGTCCCCTCACAACCCACCATTGGATGCTCAGAGCTCCCCATCTATCCCCGTGAAACTTCGTCATTTTGGTGGACTTTTCGGACCCCCAAAATCTTCACAGCCTCCCCAGCCGGGTGTGTCCGGCCATCCGTGAAGGCGAAGATGGACTCCGACAAGTCCTGTGGCAGCCATGGCGGCCATGGCGGCCATGGCGGCCATGGCGGCTGTGGCCATCCATGTTTTTCAGGCATCACATCATTCCAAATCAGATAAAGTGGGTAAAACAATGTCATAATACACCCATTGGGAATGGTTTTATACCACCTACAAACATGGTGATGACTGGGGGATGGTTTATGATTCTTTTACCCACATTACTGGATATTACTGGATGCTCCATGAAAGAAAACCCCACTGAGATGGTCATCTGGTCATCGTCCAAGTCCTGAGTGCCAAAGAGAGACCGACTGATCGGTGATGGGTCTGGAACACCCTGGCGAAGCCGCCAGCTGACCATGGAATGGGCAGGATTCTGTTCTGCAGTTTTATCTTCTGGGAGATGTTGCGAGACGATTCAAAAACGATGTTTGCTTTGAAAGCAAGCTTCATCAACCTTCCAAATGCTCAAACACATCGGAAGTCTCACTCGTCCACACTGCGTAGCCTAGCAATAGCATCCGTAGCCTTCAGCATCTGCCGCCATCCCCAAAAGAAGGGCGAGGAGCGCGTCACATCCTCCCAGGAGCTGAACATGGTCATGTGGTCATGCTTGTGGTGTTGCGCTGCATACGTCGCCCAGCTTCAAAGATGAAAGTCATGGCAGAAGATTGAAAGTCATAGATGGTTCATAGATGGCTCATAAACGGCACATGCTTACCTTCTAGGTGCATCACATCTGCCTCCGATGCAAAAATCAAGCGCCAGGTGCCCTCAAGGAAACCTGGCCGGTCGGATGCTGCAGGTGTTTCCGAAAACGGGAGACTCCAGCACTGATCAGTTCATGCTCTCACTCTCTCAGCAAGGGAAACCTTCAGCATCTACAACAGATAAGAAGATCGTAAGGGCATCCAACTCCAGCGAAGTCATGTTTCAAAGACAAGAAGTACTCCTCAACTCCTCAACCGCCTCAACCTCCAGTAATCAACACAGGACATCGCCGGTGGCATCTGGTGGCATCCGGTGGCATGGTGGCATCCCCTTGGATCAAAGCCTCACCTTGCTGCTTCGCAGGCTCCTGCGTGGGGTTCAAGGCTTCCATGGCCTTCACCAGCTGCAAGGCTCCTTCACGAGCCACGTCGGTGCCGCATTGACCACGGCCTAGCAACGAAGTCAAAAACATGTGTGCCCAACGTGTGATGCTGGTAACATGCCAAAAACATGGTGCCCTGGTGCCCTACACACTCATTCTGCATTCTGATCAGTGATTTTCAAATGTACAATCAATCTATGTCAATCTCATGCTGCCCTTGGATCAAACAAAACTCACCGTGGCTGAGGAACATGTGGCAGCGGAAGCCGCCAGGAGCCGCAGCCTACAAAGGCCAGGCATCAGTTTTTTGGGTGGGAAGACAGATATGGGGGGTTCCATAAATCGGGGGTACCCTAGAATGGATGGTTTATAATGGAAAATCCGAAATCAAAATGGACGATTTGGGGGTATCCCTATTTTCAGAGAAACCCCCGTATCGTTATCCATGCTTATCCATCAGTTGCAGAGCTCTGTTTGGCCTGTCTTCTCAGATGCTGGAAGATGATATTTGATTCTTTTGCCTGCAATGTGCTACCTCAACGTTTTGCCAAACACCCTCGTCCCTGACATTCGCAGACTTTCTGCAATCTTTCACCAAGCGTCGCCCAAGCTCACCCCACATCCCAAAAATGGCAAATGTTCACCATGAAACTACTGGTAAACCATTGCATAACCCATTGGATTTTGGATTTTTGGATTGGTTTTTTTTTGACAGCTGACAAACTATCGAATCATTCAAGAATCCATCAATAACCCATCAATCAAAAGGACCATCCATGGACCATTTTCGGATTGTTTTCCGCGGCCTCACTTCCTTCCGTGCAGCAGCTGTGCCGGCCACGGCTTCGACCTGGGGATAGATATGGGAAGGGCTAAATTTAATGGCTAAAAAGCAAACAACAAATGCCAATTCATAGGGCTTCATACCAATTCTATTGTGTAGAATTTGTGTAGCGATTCAAGCAACTAAATTAAGAGCAGTGAGCAGTTAAGCAACTAAATGCCACTGAGTGCCACTGAGCCATCAGATTTGGGGGGGCAAATGATTTTGAGGACATGCTGACACAAGTATGTAATTGCGTGATCCAACACCACATCCTGTCGAAGCCCGTTTTTGGTCGCACAGATCTGTTGTCTGTCCGGGAGCCACAAGAGCAGCCATTGTCACAGACCTTCGCGAGTGGCCTGGCAAGACACGTCAAGATTTGCAAGGTGAGAAGAAACTGAAGTTGTTACCGTTTCCTTTGCTGTCTTGACTAGCTATCTTTGTTGACAGCCAGTGTCTATTTGTTGCCTGGGTATTTGGACTGCGAATGGACTTGACATATTATATATATATATATATTATATTATATTATCAAAATATTAAAAAGCATAGTAAGAGAATCTCAGGTCAACGGCACTGTTCGGGACCACCTAACCGAAGAGGTCGAACTCCATGTCTTCCTCTTCCTCTTCCTCCTCAACCTGATTCACTGGCAGAAGGCAGCGAAGGAAGCCATGTGTCACACTTGGCGTTTTTTGGTGGCTTCAACTTGATGAACCCATCCAAAACTCTCCGAGTCCAAGCCATGTGTTTTCCCTTATCGGTCAAGTCCAGCCATTGTGGATTGCTTTCGATCCAATCTTCGGCTTCAATCCCCGTGTTCTTTCTCTGTTGAAGATAGTTCAGGTCACCCATCTTTATTGATCTTCAACAGTTGATTCTATCAGAAAACGTCCCATTCTTGCTGGTGAATGCTGGCGACAGGTGAGAACCCCACATGTTTGACATTGCCCAATGCTTGCCTGCCCATTTACAGCTGATTTTCCCTTGCCATGTTTCAAAAACTCTGAGCGCAAAAAAAACACGCTATCCATGTCAAAGGTCATAATTGAACCACACAGTAATCCATCATAATCCATCCTCCAGCCGCCGCCATTGCCGCCATGGCCTTCTTCTCCTCAGTAGCTCCAGCTCCCGCATCTCCCCCAGCGGCCGCCGCAGCACCGCCGCCGCCACCGCCGCCGCCGCCACCCGCGCCACTGCCGAGCTTGATGAGGGTCTCCATGCCCACGTTGTTGATCATCTTGGCCTTGGAAGTACCCCGTGGAGAGGCAACTTGCTCTTAAAAACCTAAGATGATACCATATGATACTGCCAAATAACACGCCACACCATTGATTCTATCACCAAATTGTCCCATGTTTCTGGGTTTCCGAGCCATCAGCAGCGGCCAGTAGGCCTCCACGGAGCAGCCGGCAGCCTCGAAAGCCACTGTGGCCGTGGCCAAGAACCCCTTCCAAAAGGAAGAGCTACGAAGCTCCTCTCCTGAACAATCCAAAGAGTGGTTTTCTTTCATATATTATCAATATATCTACAGTAATATTATCTAATTAGAATTGTCAATTTTCTATATTAGTGACTATCTTTTAGTTTTCTATATGTTGCAGAGACCCCAGAAATCGCCTTGATCAGGTTGGTCATGGCTGCTGGGGTGATCTCAGCACCATCATCATGAAGCACCAGAGCGGCGTAGGTGCACAGCAGCTCATCCTTGTCACGATGCCACGATGCCATGGCGCCATGATCAAGCCGCAATCATCTGGCAGTTTCCATTCTAAAAAATACCCATGTTTGTTCCATCTAAAAATATCCAAAAATAGTTGGCTGATAGCTAAAAAAAAACACCATGTTTTCACTAGTTGGCTGATAGCTTTTCCAAAAATAACTCAACCGGGGTATCTTTACCGGCGTGGTTTCGGCGGTGAAGTCTTCGATCTGGGAAACATGGGCCCCGCTGGTGTACACATAGCATGACATACATCAATTCATCCTATGTTTGCCTCTTAAATGTCATTTAAGAACCAAACATAGGCTGAATTGATGTATGTCAGAACCATAATGTTCTTCAATCCAAATTCAACCTGTCTATGAAGCAAATGTGAATCGACTCAACCTCTCATGTTGCCATTCTGCTTCATCTAAGTCAAGAGATCATCCACAGTTGGGCTCCTTCTGCTCGGGCGAAATCTGATCGAGGGGCACAGCCGCCATCCTGTCGTGACATGGTCCAGGCCAGCTTTAATTCCTATGTCTGAGACATGGATGACATGCCCATGTTTCATGATAATTGCAACACGCTATAAACTCAAGAGCTCCAAAGATACGCCGATTTCATCCCATGTGTATCAATTGCTCACCCGCATGAAATCTCCACCTTTGCCCCAAAGGAGGCACCTTGATGTCTGCTGCTTTGCGACCAAGGGCACCCGCTGTTGAGCAGAAATTCATGGCACCAATTGTGGATTTGTGACGCCCACATGGCAAACCTTCCAATCCTTCGAGATATCCAACTCCAAATGACTCAAGTGACATGTCAAACATTTCGGAAATTGAGATGTCAAACATCGCAGCTATTCAAGCGCTGCCTTCCAAGTCCCATGTGGGATCTGTCCCTGAGGAGCCACGCATCCTTCACAGGCCTCAGCTTCGACAATGTCAGGTCCTCATTTTGTTGGTGGTTGTATCGTGTGGGCCGTGTGGGATCAAATTGGACTCACAAACTTTGTCATGGATTGGTCCACTTTAGCGAAGCTAGTGATGGCTCAACCAACTAAAGGCAACTGAAGGCTTCGGTGCCAAAGCAGGCGAACTGGGCCAACTGGGCTATCTGGGCTGACTGTGTCTGGGCTTTCCGGCACTGCGCGCACGGCGCGCAACGGATGGCCCCTGGCGTGAAAGCCAAAGCTTTCAGTGACAGGCGCCACGGAGCTCAGCTTTGACCCGCGCCTCTCGCTTGGTGCACTGGGCGCACCGCCTGCGACAAGATGCGTTGAGACTTGGCAGCCCTTTAGGGTTTCAAATAAATCGGAAACTGTTCAGAAGGTTCAAGGCAAGTACATAGTTGAGCCACTTGTTGTTCAAAAACAAGACAAGGCAAGTCGGCAAGTCACTTCCTCCGGAGTCTGATCACAAACCCTTCGCTTCTTCAATGCTATCATGTTTCCGCGCCTACGAAGCTCTGATTCAACCTGAGAAGAGTGAAGCGAACAGGGCTACAGAGACAGAGACATTTTAAGCCGCTGAGGACAGGGCCATTGACTGACAGCCAACAAAAGGCAGAAAGCGATGATCTGCGCCAAGCATGGAGATGGGAACAGCACAGCTGATGGCCAACAGCATCCAAATGGGAACCATTGGAATACCCAAATCCCTTAGCCGCAATCACAGAAGGCTCCTGGGCACCAGCTCCTCGTCGTGCCACCTGAAAGAGGATGAAACACCATCTCCAGGCTGACTTCTCTAAGCCAATTTCAAGTAGTTGGAATCGGTAGAAGATCTCGGCTAATGAAATCTTAATGAATACGTTAATAAAAGGAACCGTGGTCAACCTTGCTCCTGTGTTTTTGTGTGGTTGGCCCTGTAGATGAGTTACGCGCATTGACACTCCTGACTTTCACCCATCTCGACAAGAAACATTGTAGAAGCCCATGGCTTCAGTGGTACAACTGCTCAGCTGCAGATAGAAACACAACCTGCATACAGTCCAAGTGTTCTGCCTTCTAAAAACTTGGGGAAATCCCTGTACTAGTACTGATCCATTTATGCAGTGACTGAAGTGCATTGAAACACGATGATAGTGTATGATCTCTTGAACAGAAGAACTTAATAAGAGCTCGCTTTCAACCTGCTTGAATGGCAATCAGCCAATCTATCTCGGAGTGGCGAGCCAAAGGCAAGGGAAAGCAGGAGGCAATGCAAAGTCTTAAAACTGACCATCAAACCCCTACAATTGCATGATGATTGCATACTACATTTATGATATTTTATGATTATGTATATATGTACGAATGGAAAATGACGTGGATTTCAGGCTGCCCATCGGCAGCAAGGACAGCGTAGACATTTTTCACGTATCTGGTTTCAGATGACGCGACAAAGGTCCGCTTAAATTGCAGAGTCATCGTTACAAACCCGTGAGCTCCAGTGGGACATCAAGGATAGTGGTGACTCGGTTCCTGTGGTACCTGACATTCCTGAGGGCTGTAATCCCGGTACTTCAGTGATACTTTCTCCGCGACACCTTGACTATGGGTTTGTCTAGTAGTGTACCTAAATCCATGAAAAATCATCACATTCCCTAATAAAAAGTAACCATTTGTGGGTATACCGGTATACCCCATGTTCAGAAGCACCCATGTTAAATCTGGAGAAGAAGGTACGTCTACCTTCCACCAAAGCTCATCGGGATCCTACCCTTGGACACCAGCAAGTGCCATCGACGATGACCATCCATTCTTCTTGAGATACATATGGAAGAAGCACTACATCTGGAAAAAGAATGTAAATATGCATGTATATGCCTACGGCAGGAAAACCGTACGTGCGTTTTGCTTCGTTTTTGAGTATTGCTCTTTTTCTTGGGGTTGGGGCGGGGGGGGGGGGGGGGCATGTTAACGTTCCTTGTACTTCGTACATGATATATTGCCATGTTGCTAAGATCTCGGGGATCTTTTACTACGTTACGTGTTGCTACGCTGCTGAGATCTCTAGTGTGGGTTGGGGTTGGGGTGGGGTGGGGTGGGGGGGCATGTTAACGTTCCTCGTACTTCGTACAGGATATATATTGCCATGTTAGTGTGGGTTGGGGTTGGGGTGGGGTGGGGTGGGGGTGCATGTTAACGTTCCTTGTACTTCGTACAGGATATATTGCGATGTTGCTAAGATCTCTGGGATCTTTTACTACGTTACATGTTGCTACGCTGCTGGTATCTCTGAGATAGTTTCCTACGTTACAGGTTGCTACGCTGCTGAGATCCTTGGGATCGTTTACTACGTGACATTTTGCTACGCTGCTGAGATCCTTGGGATCGTTTAATATGTGACATGTTGCTACGCTGCTGAGATCTCTGGGATCTTTTACTACGTTACATGTTGCTACGCTGCTCAGATCCTTGGGATCGTTTACTACGTGACATGTTGCTACGCTGCTGAGATCTCTGGGATCGTTTACTACGTAACATGTTGCTACGCTGCTAAGAGCTCTGGGATTGTTTACTACGTTACATGTTGCTACGCTGCTAAGATCCTTGCTGCTGCTGGGAAGATTGACTCTCTGTGGAATTTGGCTAAAAAAATTGTGCCTAGCAATTTGCAGACAAAGGCAGGGCAGAACAAAGATGTCATGCTATACCTGCGTTGCTGGCAGTGGCGTTATGAGTGCCATAGTGGCAACTTGCTGTCGAAGACAGCTTCCACACTGATGGATCGCTGAGCCGACGAAGAGTGTGAAAAAAAATCTGCGCATCCACGTCTGATGCACATGATGTTTACCTGGATTTGTTAAAAATCAATAGATTTTGCATCCACTTTTTTTAACCCAAATTCAGTTATCCAAACTGATCGGAAGAGCATTTTATATTGTAAATTACAGGTGATTGTGACTCTCCTGGAAGCAGCCAATCAAAACGCTCGCGCGGTTTCCCTTCCGCCGGGATGTATATGTATGTATATACATATACATACATCTATGTATCTATGTATCTATGTATCTATGTATCTATGTATCTATGTATCTATGTATCTATGTATGTATGTATGTATGTATGTGTGTGTATGTGTGTATGTGTGTATGTGTGTATGTGTGTATGTGTGTATGTGTGTATGTGTGTACGTGTGTACGTGTGTACGTGTGTACGTGTGTACGTGTGTACGTGTGTACGTGTGTACGTGTGTACGTGTGTACGTGTGTACGTGTGTACGTGTGTACGTGTGTACGTGTGTACGTGTGTACGTGTGTACGTGTGTACGTGTGTACGTCTGTACGTCTGTATGTGTGTATGTGTGTATGTGTGTATGTGTGTATGTGTGTATGTGTGTATGTGTGTATGTGTGTATGTGTGTATGTATGTATGTATGTATGTATGTATGTATGTAACATATGTATATATATATATATACGTAAATATAATTATATACATATGTATATGTGTGTACGTATATATATATATATTATATATACACTATATATATATACATATACTACATATAAACTATGTATAAACTATACAATATATATATAATACATATATATAATATATATGATGGTCCATCAATCAAAGGTAGCCATAAGACTTCAGGCTACCATCTGAAACAACACCAGCTGGGTCCCTCAGCAACTGGTTCCCGCTGCGGCTGCGGTAGTCTCTGCAAGGCAGATATTGAGGCAACGCAACAAGCAGTATGTGTACATATAGTGTGTAGGTGTGTCTGTTTACTTGTATGTACTGAAACAGTGATCATAGAAAAAAAATGTATGCTTATATATATATAATCATCAGTACTATTACTATCACCATTACTATCATGAATGTGCAAATATATATATATATTATATATTATCATAACAATTGACTAGTGTAAATTCAAATGAAGACACTGCAAGACGCATGTACACATCATGAGATCCATGACGCAGGACTCAATGATGATGCATGGATGCCATCTGCACGACTAGACAAGGTTTTCGGCTGTTGCAGGTTAGAAATTGACATGGGTGTGGTAGAGTAAATATGCACATTGATAAATATTTTGTTCAGCATTTTTTCCGCATCTCAGATAAATGTTGTAGATAATTGATGATCGTGCAAATCTGATCTTTTAGATTGTTATATATATAATCCCTATGAACATACACGGGAGGGGGTCCTGCAAGCCATTTTATAGACATAAAATGGTTTTCACTATAAAATGACTAGACACTGCTTATAAAATGAGTGGCCCCAACCCAAATGAAAACACTATATTTTGAGGGGGCCTGACCCCAGAACACCTGGAAATTACTTATAAAATCTCTATAAAACGACTGGTTCCCTTTACAAATGGTCAAGGCGCAAGTCAACAGATTTCAGCACCTCACTTAGAATGAAACCATGTTGCCATTCCTTCATTTTGATTTTGCCATTCCTTCATTTTGTTTCCAATGCCGCCCAGTGCCAACCCTGGCGTTTCAATGGGCAGTTTTGGAATAGTGTGGGCTACTTGTCCTTAAACCTTCAACCCACCATGAAGTTGGTGATTGAGCCAGCATCTGCCATCCTTTTGTATTCCTGGATTTTGCTTCCAATGCCTCCAAATGCAAGCCCTGGCCTCTCAATGGGCTATTTTGGAACAGCGTGGGCTACTTGTATGATTTCCAAGTGCTGCCACTATAAAATGGCTGGCCTCAACCTTTCAACCCACCATGAATTTGGTGATTGAGCCAGCATCTGCCATCCTTTTGCATACCTTGATGCCAGCCCTGGCGTTTCAATGGGCCATTTTGGAATAGTGTGTGGCTACTTGTATGATTTCCAAGTGCTGCCACTATAAAATGGCTGGCCCCAACCTTTTAACCCACCATGAAATTGGTGGTTGAGCCAGCATCTGCCATCCTTTTGTATTCCTGGATTTTGCTTCCAATGCCTCCAAATGCAAGCCCTGGCCTCTCAATGGGCTATTTTGGAACAGCGTGGGCTACTTGTATGATTTCCAAGTGCTGCCACTATAAAATGGCTGGCCTTAACCTTTCAACCCACCATGAAATTGGTGATTGAGCCAGCACCTGCCACCCTTTTGGGTTGAAATTGCCTGGAAAGCTGGGTATTCAACCCCATCACCAATTTCAAATTGGGTTGGTGGGTTGAAGCTAGCCATTTGATAGTGGCTAGATTTAGGAATTTGCGCAAGCAGCCCACAAGATAGCACAATGTGGGCTACTGTGTTTTAATGTGGGCTACTTGCACGATTTCCCAAATCTAGCCACTATCAAATGGCTAGCTTTAACCCACCAACCCAATTTGAAATTGGCGATTGGGTTGAATACCCAGCTTCCCCGGCAATTTCAACCACAAAGAATGGCAGGTACTAGCCCAACCACCAATTTCATGGTGGGTTGAAAGGTTGAGGCCAGCCATTTTATAGTGGCAGCACTTGGAAATCATACAAGTAGCCACACGCTGTTCCAAAATGGCCCATTGAAACGCCAGGGCTGGCATCAAGGAATGCAAAAGGATGGCAGATGCTGGCTCAATCACCAATTTCATGGTGGGTTGAAAGGTTGAGGCCAGCCATTTTATAGTGGCAGCACTTGGAAATCATACAAGTAGCCACACACTATTCCAAAATGGCCCATTGAAACGCCAGGGCTGGCATCAAGGTATGCAAAAGGATGGCAGATGCTGGCTCAATCACCAATTTCATGGTGGGTTGAAAGGTTGAGGCCAGCCATTTTATAGTGGCAGCACTTGGAAATCATACAAGTAGCCACACACTATTCCAAAATGGCCCATTGAAACGCCAGGGCTGGCATCAAGGTATGCAAAAGGATGGCAGATGCTGGCTCAATCACCAATTTCATAGTGGGTTGAAAGGTTGAAGCCAGCCTTTTGTGTGGTGGCAGCTGGGCGGCATTGGAACCAAAATGAAGGAATGCAAAGAAATGGTTTGCCCATCTTCCCTGAGCATGTCTTCACATGGCACAGGGCCGGGCTCTCTTTCAGAGGTTGTGCCCCCACCCGAGGCATCTTTGATCAAATGATCAATGGCTGTGGATAAGAACAACCTGGATCATGGCTGCACTGCAAAAACCTAAACAAATCTGGACAAATTTCAGCTACAACCCTGAAATCACTATAAAGTGGGGTGAGTGACCCCCGGAAGGAGCGCCGCTGGAGGTGCATAAAACAAAATATAGCAGACCTTGACCCCTGTCATTTTATAGAGGATATGTTCATGGGTATTATATATATATATAGTATATAATATATGTATATAGATAGATGTTTGAAATTCTGTATTCCATTGCCAGCTGCTTCAGCCCCTTGGAGGACGCTTTGTTCAACTCCGGGTTTGGAACAAAATGGGCGAGAGTCGGCGAGGCGCCAATTCATGGGTGTGTGGAGTATGGCTTGTCATGACATGTGGAAAAAAAAAACATGCACCATGAGAAATCCAGAAGTTATGCTGCACAAAAATGCTGAAATGGATTGATTCATGGCAGTTAAAGGCTACTCATGATCCAAAGCGCCCCTCGCCAATGAACTTTGCAACCCTTATGACCCCGCGTCAGCCACAAGGACACAAGGAATTCGGGGGGTGGCCCGCACCCCGGGAGTAGATCTTTCACGATGTTTTTTATATTTTTTAATATCTTTTCCACATCAGTTGTTGATCAAAACCTGGATCCCTCGATGTTAAACGGTGCCAGGCAGCTTGAAACACCTGATCTCTCCGCGGGCGCGGAATCACCGCGCGTGGAAGCCGTGACACTCCAACTTCGGCCTGGTGAAGATCATGTGATCATGACCCTGGGGGGTTCCAAAAAAGCTACCGTAAACTGCTGTCATCCAGGTTGGAAAACCACCAAGTGATGCGTTTCTGATGCTTCAACACTTTATTCTCTGGGCGACAAAGTGAATAGATGTGAATAGAGAGTTGCCTAAGGAAAGCTTCTCCATGTGGCAACATGTCACAGCACAAGCGACGAGCTCCTGAGTTCGAACCTTCTGAACGACTGTGTCTATCAACATTGCTGAGTTGCACCTCGCAGGGAGATCAACAGACATGTACGTCATGTCCCTTGTCACCGACTTTTTGGGACTAAAAGTATCTACCCTCTGGTAATTTAACATAGCTATCAAAAATCACCATGTTTAATGGGTAAATCAACGATAAATGTATTTCGCAAAGTGTTAGTTGACCAGAGGGTAAAAGTCCTGGAAGTTCCACTGGAAGCTGTTTCTGGCGAGGTCTCCAGTAGACTACACAGCAATGTGGGACAAATGGTTAACAGTGCCAATGAAATCCTAGTAAGGTGCCAACACCAACAACAATCCAAAGCTGCAAGTGGGATGCAATGCATCCAGTATCTGCACGAATCTGGTTGGATGTCACTTTCTGCATTCTGGAACCGGCAGCGCTTTTTGGAGCTGCGAAGGCCGCAATCAGCAGGGTTTTGCGACAACCATCAAACATGGACTGCCGCCGCGCTTTACTGATGCAGAGATTCTACACCAACCCCAGTACAACCTACCCAAATCAATCATGATCCAGGTAGATTTCGGGTATATTCCGGTAGATAGGTCGTGTTGACCAAGCACCAACAGCTGTTCCGCTGATAGAAAAAAATGAATTGAATACAATCAAATGATTCTATAATCAAAATGATTATGAATTCCGCGATGTGTCAGCTGCATTTCATCTTCTGACACAATCTGCCCAACTCCTTGGAATAGGCGACACGTCTAGAAGCCGTCCTCACGGCTCTCAACGTGACCTAGCAGACCTAGGTGACCTAGCATTCAAATGGCCAGGCAGCATGTGGGTTGTCCTCACCGCCCATGAGGTTCAAGAGAGTTTCCATGTCTGCCTCTGTGTTGCCTGGCTTGGGAACATCCGTCACCTTCTTCAGCTGCTCCAAAGTCTCACGGTTTTCTGCGATCTGAGCCAAGCTTTCCTTCAAGGGTTGCTTAGCAGCCATCTCTTCCTCCTCCGTCAAGCGTCGAGGGTGTTTCAGGCCTGACACAGGATCATAGCCTGGGGAATTCCACAATGCAGAAAGCTGTGCTTGACTCTTGGGGGTCTTCAAGAAATGGTTGTTCGCGCAGGCCGCGTGCACCGCTGCGCCATAGGGTGCAATTGCCGCTGCTCCAGTGGTGATCGCAGCCATGGAGCCAGCACAAAGTGCGTTGACATCAAGAAAGTCCTGGCTGAAAACATGACGCTGTCGTCCATCTGAAGATCTTGGGACATTACAAGGCAAAGGAGGACCGGGACATACCGGGACGGAGCTAAGATCACCAAATGTCTTTCTTCTCTTCGTCGCAGTTGGGGGTTTCCATGTCAACATCTCAAAGCTGAAAAAGAAGACTTCGAGAGTGCCTTGAAACTCTTTCCAGGATTACATTCAGTGACTACATGGAAGACATCATACAAACAACGAACAGCTATAAACACAAACATAGGGTTACGGCTGCGCCCGGCTGCGCTAAGGCCCATTCAGTCCTGACAGTGAACCACAATGAGGTTGATGAAGGTAACAACCTGACCGATGTAGGCCACAGCACCACCAATGTCAACGGTGCAAAGTGATTCTGGGATGCCCTTGAACACGTTCAACGGTGAGCGGAAGGTGCTGGCTTTGCACTTGTTCACATTCACGGCCTTGTTGATGGCAAGCCCCAGGTTTGCAATGTTGGCTGCCACCATGCCGACATCCACACCACACTGCACACCGTTGCCCACAGCGCCTTCTCCAATCAGCAAACGTCGGCCATCTCGGACAGTCTGATCTCCCAAGACACTGATCTTGGTGGTGGTCAATTGTGGCGGAGTTCCGGTGCATGTGGCCGCACCCAAAGAAGCTCCAGCTGCAATCTCTCCCATAGCTGACACCAAGCCTGTGATGCCAGCAGAGCAAATGGCATCCACGTTGATGCTCAAGGCACAATTGGAAGCTGCCAAAGCCAGCTTGGTAGCAAGGTTTCCCACCCAAGCACCCAGGATGGCACCGTTCACCTGGCAAGCCAACTCAGACTCACCATCACGAGGTGCAGGGCAAGTGCGAATGATGGCATTGATGTCATCACCCATACCCACCACTGAGACAAAGGCCTCCAAGATGTTGAAGGAGCATTCTGCAATTCCAGCAAGTTCGGCCTTTTGTCCTTGGCGGAATCCTTTCACCTTTCGGATGGTCACAAGAGTATCCAGCTTGCGGATGTGGTGCTTCTCCCAGTGGTCCTGAACCTTGTGGCCTGCCTTCACCATGGCCTTCATCACGGTCTCATCAGCCAAAGTCTGGTTGTTCTCCGCCGCCTGAATCAGCTTCTCACTGGTGGTGCGGATGGCAGAATCAAGATCCAAAGAAGACTTGCCTTGCAAAGTTCCAACATTGCTGCAGTTGCGGCTGAAGCCATTCGTTGACAAGGCAAAAATGCCCACACAAACAACCATCGCAGTTGCCACTCCCACAGCCATCTTCTTCAACCTGGACCGTTTCATTCGAAAGGAAACGTTAGCCTCAGGAGCTTCAGGAGCCTCAACCTCAAGCAGGCTGGCATCCTCCAGGTTCTCTGGCTTCAAGAAGGACATGTTGACTGTTGGTGCTTCGCGGCAACCAAGAGAATTCGGGAGAGATTCTCGAGCAATAATGGCTTGTTGAACACAGGAATAGTGTCTGATGTTTTGAGCAATTCCCATGTGAGCATGTCTTGAGCTGCACGGACTTGGTTCAGGTTCAATTCTCGTGCCAACAGCTCCAACAACAAATAATTGCATATATATATAATATATATGTATATGTTAGGGCTGAACAACATTAAGATCCAACTTTTTACCTCTTAACTCATGCAAAGTTCGTCTAGCCGAATGGGGGGAAATCTGAGCTGAAGATTTGCATCTGCCATCGCTCCCGGCACCTTCAAAGCTCGACATCCGAAGGACCTTGGGCACTTCATAGCATGAGCTTCGTCTGATCCAAGACCTCAAGTGACAATCGGAGAGGCGCAAGGACCAGCGGTCGGACCAGCGGTCGGACCAGCGGTCGGCTGGTGGAGAGCTGGGGCGGCTGGAGTTGAATTCACAGCTCAACTGTGCTCAGTTTTCCTTTTGCATATGTAGAATCCGATCATAACTGGTGTTTTTTCTAAGTTTCTGGCCCAATCCATTTTGGAGATTGTCGCTGGGAGACCTCGATCAATGGACGTCACATCATGTCATGCGGACATATGGGTCAGGAAATGGGGGGAAATTACTTCCAAAATTCCAATTGCATAGGGAAAATGATGAAACCATGAGATCTCGGGGTACCCGATTTTCCGACAAAGCCACATGGTCCTGGCTCTGGCCCAAAGCACTTCTGAAGCTACCAGCACCCGGCCATCTTCGCATTTTCCATCTGTGGACCTGTCCCTTTCTGCTCCAGTCACGGTCCAACAGTTCCCATCATCGGCATTACACAGTTGCTCGGAGTTTTTTTTCTAAAACTCGCCTCAAACACAGGTTCCATGGTTAAAAAAATCCTTGAAAACCCATTCCACCTGGGTATACAGTATACAGTATTTATGCTTCACCCTTCACAAAGTCATTATCCATTCTTGCTAGAAGAGCCATTCCTAATCTTGGCCACCACACTGCTGCGAAGGCAGGCACTCCCGACTGGGTTGCCTCAGGTTTACACACAACATCCAGACTGGGTCTTTTCGTCTGCCGTCCACAAACATATCAGTGATCTGGCCAAAAATGGCGGCAAAAAAATATCCCAGCAAAAGACCCCAAACAGTGTGGGGAAGTGGGAACTCAATGTTTCAAATACAAGCAACAATAGCTACGGACCAAAAAAGAGATGAGATCATGCTGTTTTCGTAGGTGCAGCAGTGGGAAGTGATTGCGGCAGAAGAAGCAACTCTATGTGTAGAAGCCGATGCGAAGACGTCAAAGAGAATGGCACAAGAACATCAAAGGAAGGGCATGGACAAGATGTCAAAAGGGATGGCTCAAGAGCTAGAACGTTTCAGGGTCATCCCAGAAGAAGTTCCACACGTGCAGCGCGAATGCAGAGCAGCCTCAAAATCTAAATGCAAGGGCCTCTTAGGAAGTATAGACTATAGACAGTGCAAGATATACGAGGACAAGACAAGACAGACGAAACAAGACAGTACAGGACGGGAATCCCTGCCTCTGCTGCTTCGAATGTCTCGGATGACTTTGCGGGGCATCTCGCGGGTGCAAGACACACGGATGCAAGACACAAGAGGTCTGGCACTGGATGGAAGACACAAGACATATGGAAGACAAGACAACGGACGATACAAGACACGACAAAACAGTACTCCCCGCCTCGGATGCATCGAATGCTTCGCAAGAGCAAGACTATGGAAGACAAGACAGGACAAAACACGACACACTACACCTCGCGCAACCGCAGAGATCCCGGCCTCGGATACAGCGAATGCTTCAGAAAGGCATCAGACGAAACACTCTAGACAAGACGGACAAACACGACTCTACAGGACAAAGAGAAAATGTCGCGCCCCAAGGACATGACACACTGCGCAATCGAAATGCACTTGGAAATTTATTTCGCAAGAGCCAGTTTATACATAAATTTACAAGGAAAATGCCGCGCCCCAAAACCAGGACACACACTTTCTGCGAGCCTGCCCAGTCGAAATGCACTTCAACATTTCACAAGAGCCACTTTATACGGAAATTTAAAAGGAAAATGCCGCGCCCAAAAACCAGGACACACACTTTATGCGAGCCTGCCCAGTCGAAATGCACTTCAACATTTCACAAGAGCCACTTTCTACGGAAATTTACAGGTGAAATGCCGTGCCCCAGCTGGGGCACCCTGATCAAGCACCGGCCTTTACACTTACATCACTTACCGTAAGAACCCCTCAGTGTGGACACCCTGTCTGGGGAAAAACTAAACATAGTTTCCAATAGGTCACAAAAATCCTCAAATGATCAGCTTTTGCCAGGTGTACTCTGGGCCAAGCCACCATGGGCCGTGGATACCCCGTGAAGCTCACTGTGGCAATGCCCGAAGGGGCTTGCGCAGAGAGAGGGCCCTCGCGCAACGGCGATACGCCCTCAGCATTCGAGGAATTGAAGTCGGAACCCCCAAGTTATGGCCACTTTTGATTGGAAAATGATGGAAAATGATGGTGGTAACCTATTTTGAGACCAGGCTATTGCCATCTGTACCGAAGACCCAATATATCTCAATATGATCTATTTTTCGCTAATTGAAGACTCTATCCTTTGGATTCCGAAATGACCCAGAAATGTCGGACCTTCGACAAAACAGCAGCTCACCATTCTTGCCCAGTAGCTCGTGTCACAGGTTCAACCGGATACTGTGCGGAGTTGCCAATTGGACCATCTGAGGAGAAGCGAGGCACCTGGCGATGATCGCTGATCTACTCCCTTTCCGACCTTTCGCCATAGAAACCTGGGATGATTTTGATGCTTGTCACTGTATGACAACTGTTTGTTTCTGCTCACCATAGGATGATCATGATCATCATCATCATCATGATCATCATCATCATCATCGTCATCATCATCATCATCCAAACTGCAAGGCTTTTGCATCCCACCTGTGCCACGCAGCTGTCGCCAACTCGGCTCACCATCTGGAGAAGGATCGTGCTAGTGATGCAAGTCTTGAACAATAACTCGCAAATCTTACAATATCCTACAATCACCAGCTGCAAATGATTTCTAAGATCAAAATCCCTTAACACTCATTTTTAGCCATTCTTGAACCTCATTGAACCTCCTAATCCTTCGATATCTCAGGGTATACCTTGGTTCAACAGCCCAGCCTGTGGCGAGTGCGTCTGAAACTGCGGCAGCGGTGCAGGCGCTGGCATCCGAGCCACCGGACAGCAGGCGGACCATGGCAGGGCCGGCAGGGCCGGCAGGGCGGGGGCCGAGCAGCTTGCCACTAAGCTCCTGAAATCACCAGTTGATACGGTGGATGGTTGCGAAATCACTAGCTGATAGATGGTAAACAAAGTAAACATCCCATGATTTTGTTTGGCTTTCAAGCATCCTTTTGGTGGTGCAGGATTTCTCAACCATCCACAGTATCACTGGGGAATGACTGAAATCATCTGAAATCAACGTTTTTCCCGGGTCAAGTTGGACCCTTGGACGACTTTGATCCCAACACTGGGCAATACGCACACTTGCCTTGCAAACTTGCTGGTTCCATGTCTATTTCGTTGGAAAAAATGTTTACCACCAGGATGTTGTTCTGTTTTTCCCATTTTTTCCCCCCATACATAGACTGCATGTTTGCTCTGATGAGATACTCAAAGACACCACCAAACTGCTGGACCCGACCTTGTTTCCGTCACAGGTGAGAAAGACCCAAAGGCCAATCTGCAGGAGCCTTACAAAGCGGCAAGGTTTGATGCAGATTGATGCTAGAGTCAGTTTCAAAATGTTTCAAAGTTTGCCACTGTATCTTCTGATGTCATTTCCACTTTGGAAAAGACCACATGCTGGAAGGTTTGACGAGCGCAGAATCTGCCAAATCAGAAAACTAATTCTGCAACAAGTGCAGCATGGAGTTGATGTAGTTTTTCAACCATGAAGCCATACTATTGCTGTGTACCTACTATTGCCATATCGAAAGCTGCACTTTCCAATTGAAAAAAACGGGAGTGATACCACCCACCTGGCCCTGGTATCCCTGGTTCAGGATTCACCAGCTTCAGGGAGCCTGTCACAGGCCCGATGTCAAGATACAGCTTAGATCCCAAATATCCCAACACCGGCGACAATGACATACCGTGAGATACATCATATCAATTTGTAAGCATACATCATATCATATCATATCATATCATAATCATATCATATCATATCATATCATCATGTAGTGAAATCTCTTGAATCTGCACCAAAAGACTGGGGGTTGTCCCTGCCTCCTCTGCTGGGCAGAAGGGTGCTCTCAGGCGCAGGCACCTCCATCTCGGGAACTGCCTCCGGGAATCCCATTCCATCCATTGGAAAATTCAGAAAATCCATTTCATGGTTGATCATAATTCTATATACAGGGCTTTCCATAACTCCTGAAATCCCCTGCATCTTGGCTTCCATCCTGGACAGCAAATCACTCGAGTTTTCCACCTCTGCACTCAGCTGCAGCTGCTTTCGAAGTTCCAGTCTTTCACGCACCAACTCCAAACAACGCCGCGCTTCTTCCAGCAATTGCTGATGGTTGGGAGGCTCCTCCATTGGCGAAATGTGATGTGAGTTTGTTTTGGTGTGATACAAGAAATACTTACTGGTCAGTGTGCTTACTAGTTAGCTGGGTGTTTAAGGGTGGGGACTTCAACGATGTTTTCTTAAGAAAGATATCTCATTTGGTGATATTTGGTGATATTTGGTGATATTTGGTGATATTTGGTGATATTTGGTGAAGTATACACTCAACATCTTCGTATCAAGCATGGCATCACAGCGCCTGAAAGCCAGTAGCATCCTCCAAGTCCCGGGCCAAGCTGATGAGATCCCAGCCTCAGGGATCCGATTTCACATAGCCATAGCCTGTACCGGCTGAAAAAAAACGGCTTCGGAACATCTTCGAATCTTCGAACCGAAACAGCTCGGTATCGACAGAACATCAGACGGGCGACAGAGATGTCTGAAGGACTCGTTCTGCTCCTCAGCGCGCGTCAACGCGTCTGCCAACCTCGGGGACACACCCGGCAAGGCACAAACTCTCTATCAGTCTATCAGATCTATCAGCTGATACGTGTGTGTTTCCAGAGTTTCCAGAGTTTGCACGACAAACATCAGCAATGCCAAAGTCTACCAAACACTTTTTCTATCACTTGCTGCTCTTCTGATATGCTTGCCCAGTCTCCCTGTCGATGTGAAAGATGGGTCACCAAGCATGCCTGCAAACATTCAGAAACAATTCACAAATATTCACAATCAGCCAGAGATTCCCAAGACTCTGCCTCAGTACTTAGATGTACATAGTAGCTATAGCAAAGTCTGACAGCATGCGCAGCTTGGCCAATGGTCAGCTCTCCCACCTGATTCAATGCCTTCCCAAATGGATGCCAATTGATGTCCGTCAAGGGTTCGATCAAAGCCAAAGTCTGCAGACTTCTCCACATCCAAAGTCTGACCATCATCGGTGGTGATCCCAATGCCTTCCTGACAATGTCACCATCCCTGGGGTGAATCCCATGGCCCATGGACCCTCAAATCCCATCGTTTAAAGCTGTTACACACTGTTCCTGAAATGCATGGGACTTGAATGGGGAGTAACTTCCCCAAAGTTGGTCTTCGTATTTCCAAACCTCACCTGGCGATCTTAGATCTTACCCCCACATGTATATATCATATATATATATCATATATCCATCCCTATCCATATCCATCCCTGATCCAGGCGCTTCCCCTAGGCGCTTCCGGCTCCAAGGATCGTTGGTGATGCCGAAGACCGGCCAAGTGCTGGGATCCAAGGAGCTCAACTCCCAGGAGTTCCGCCGCACCGGCGTGCGCGGGTCGTCCGAGGTGCCGGAGGTGGCGCCTCCGTTGGTCCAACGCAACGGCGGGGCATGGCGTTGTGCGATCAAACACCACGGAAAGCACCAGTTTTTCGTGGGAAATCAAGGGAAATCCACCATTTTTGTGGATAAATCATGATAAATCATGGCAAATCCTCTGCAAACAAGCCATTTTCATGGCATTTTCCATAGCTCTGTTAGATTGCTAGAGGGCAAGCTATACCAAGGTAAAGGGATCAGCCAGAGGTCAGTTTCACCAAGTAAACAGGCTGACATTTCGCATCCGGGAATACACAACGTCGGAACCAAAGGCAAAAAGAAGCAGTTGGCTTCCCATATTGGAAAGTCTTCAAATGCGGATTTCCCCACAAATGGTTTGATGACAGTCCCTGTGTGCGAGAGCAAGAGACGGTATCGAGTATCAAGTATGCGCGTAAGTGCAAGAGAAGATACTCCAGCTAAGCACGAACTACGCGCGCAAGTCAAAATGTCCATAAGAATGCTCTCGTTCTTGAAACATGCGTCTTACATCCAGTCCTCCAACATGTTGTCACCACATATCTCTGTCCGCGTGTGCAGCTTACCCCATTTTCGCATGCACTGCTGACACCCCGAACCGATACCAAGCTATACCAAGCTCGATGAAACAACAATTGTTTGTTTCTGATCGCTTTTCCATTGCTCAGTTGATTGGTACCAGAATTTCAGACCTCCAAATCTGAGAAATCTTGGAATTTCATATCAGTTCCATCCCCGTGGGCCCCATGGGCCCGGCCCCCATGGCATTCTGCGGCCTGAATCCGCCTTCGTCACTTTCAGATGAAAGGGCATGGGACTTCCATCCTGCAGACACTGCAGAGGTCTTTTTTATGGCTATGCCAAAAATGATGTCATGGTGTGGCAGGCAGTGTATTTTTGTAATATATTTGCACATACACATGTACTCTCTACATGTACCTCCATATTCATATCTATATTTATGTCTGTGTATATGAATATATCATAAATAGTGAAATATGATGCACTGTGAGTACTATCAGGTCAGAAAGTTTACAAACACTCTTCCCCACGTGCTCCATGCAAATCACCAGTTGCACCAAGAAATCTACTCAGTTTCGGTTTCGCAAACACCAGTGATTTGCGTTTTCTGAACTGAGTTGTCTTCCACCAGTCCCAAAGGAAATCCTCCATTTCCAGCAGGTCGGATCTCTCTGATCTCTCTGATTTTCCTGATTTCATCAAAGACCGCAACGTTTTTGACCTCGAGTTGGCGACGACATGAATCTCTAGCCGCAAATCCATTCCTGCTTGCACACATAGAGGGAGCTGAAGTGAATGCTTGAAGAAAAAATGTTGAAACACCAAACTATGGCCTCACAAAAACAAAACTGAAAAACATATTCAAAAACTCATCGACAAAGCTGTTTACGAGTCTGTTAAGTCAATGGCAATGGCCCCCAAAACGTGCCGCACAAAACCCTTCAAACCATCAATCCCTGATCCCATTACATTCCGCTGCGCCAGGTGGCGGCAAGCGAAGCTCAGTCTGGGTGCCAATTTCTCGGTTAAGGGGTTGTGCTCGGGCCTGGCAAGGGTGATATTTGTGGTTGTCAAATTTGCAAGGCCATTTTTGCACCCAGGAAAAACAATGGAAAAATACTGACGCAGTTGCACTGTCTCTCCAGCCTTGGGTCTGCCAGGGGCTAACGTGTTTCTGCCAGGAGCTAACGTGCTTTTGGCTTTGGGTTTCGCCTTGGGACTACCTCAGAAGGTTGGCACAGCAGCAACACAGAAAGAACACAAAATTGGCCTACACGGAGTGAATATCTATGGTTTTGAAGTTTTATTTGTGTCCAAGTTTTAAATCAAAGAATCTGATTTTCCTTTAATCCGTGTAGGAGAGGAGTTGGGCATGACATGAAACATCAATCAAAGTGAAAGGAAATGTTCCTTTCACGGAAACATGTTCGGTTTGGCCACAAAACGGCCAAATTATTTCGAGAATTTTGTTTATTGTACATACAATTTGATGTTCAAAAATTTCAGATTGGTAAAAATTGAGCGGTCCAGCAAACAATTACAGACTGAAATTTTCAACGTCCAAAGCATCCCATTGTGGAAACAACAACAACAACAAATGGTGTTCAAAACCCTTTGTCGTTCAATGTCTAAGTTGACATGTTCATAAAATTTCATTAACACGATGTTGAGGTTTACAAATATTCCATATCCCATACCCAGATGATTTTTTTACCAAGATACTTTGGCCTTGCCGTCTGCCTGAAGTCCCTGAAGTCGTGGCCCGTGGGGCCCGTGCTGCCATGGACATGGCGTTTGTGGCAACGCGGCACGGCCACCGGTTGAAATTCAGTTGTTACACTCAGAATAGTAAACTGAAAAATGTGGTTCGACATGGTTTTTATGTAATGTTTTCATATGCGCGATGGAAGAACGCAAGAGTGTTGTTTCAGCATCATTGGTTTCAATTGGCAAGCAACTGGATGATTGGTATGACTCGGTATGACCCATTTTGCCACAATCCCACAACACCTTGCACACGTCACTGCAACATTGGCACAAAAGCATTGAGTCGTGTCATAAATTTTGGGCGTGGTTGTCAGTTTCATCATGTTGATGGGTTTATCCTCCCCCTCCCAAGTCTTGCAAATCCATTTTTTCGCAAACTGGAGGTTTCCCTTGGTGGGAGCAATGCAACGACTAGCAACTCCTGCCAAGCAATTACATATTCCTTTCCTTCCTACAATGTCATAACATTTGTTCTTTTGTTGTTCCCTGAAAAATTGTTATGGTTTCTCTCGCCGTTCCACTGCTCAAAGGTATGGCAGTTGTTCTGTCCCCACCAGCATCCAACAAACGACAAAAATGTGGGCCCCTTGGCCCCCTGGCCCCCTGTCAGTCCACGATAAAACATGATTAAAAACCCTCTTTGTTTCAAAAGTTTCTCTGCAAAATCGACGCCTTGTCACCGCTTGACCCCATGAACCACCACCATACCACCACCAGTCACCCGTACTACCACCACTTCCGACCTCGGCCGCCATCACCGCCATCCCCGTCATCACTGCCACCACCATCACAACTACCCCACCACCGTCACAACCATCACCACCAGTTCGAACAAATAAACGTTCATCTAGCGTAACATGCGAAAATAGAGGTTCAACACTCGGCGTCCGTTACGTTTCAAAATCCCTCCTATGGGGATGGGTCCAAACTCAAGACTCAAGTGGCCAATTTCACATAAGATCTCCACAAGGGTTTCTCACAAGGAATTGTAAAAGACCTTGACACAGATTTTCATGCCAGGACCCCTAAGAGAATCTCACAAGATCGTCATACAAAGACCTGCCACTCCTGGGGCAGATCTTACAAGATCTTGACGCAAGAACCTCCCAAGAGCCTCGCACTCATACAAGCAGCACCTCCAAGACATGGCATCGGCAAAATCTTCACGCAAGGACATATTCGAGGGGATCTCACCAAGATCTCCACGAAATCTTCTGTTAAGGACCTGTACAAGATCATGCAAGGACCTCTTTGAAGATGTCAGCAAGAATTGCACAAGATCTTCTCATAAGGACATCCTGCAGGGACCTCTTGGACGATGTCAGCAGGAACCTCACAAGAGTTTGTCATAAGGACCTGTGCGCTGATAGGGTTTCATCAACGTCTTCGCACAAGGACCTCTACATGGCCTTTGTCAAGATCTACATGCATTACGGACTTCCAAGACTCCACCATGAAATTCTTGCAAGATCGTCGAAGAGACGTGCGCAGTCGCAATGCACATGGACATTTCACAAGAGCAATTTCGAGATCAGAGAGCGTACCCTGATCCACCCCGGCCGTCACTCCTACCGTTAAAAAAAATCCCTCAGTGTGGACACACTGTTTGGGGAAACAATGAATCAAAAGAACCAACGAAGCAACGACTCAATGAATTAGTGAGTCCATGAATCATGGAATCCGTGAACCATTCAATCAGTGAACTAATTAAAGGATCCAATAACCCCACAAGTCAACTTCTTCCAATACTGAGTTTCAAAGGTTGTAGCGGGGACGGGGAAGGAAGGAAAGACAAAGGAGGTGGTGAAAGACTGTGCGTGAAAGTATGTGAAAAGATAGTATGCATGTACGTAGGTATGTGTGTATGTATGTATGTGCGTACGTACGTATGTATGTATGTATGTGAGTATGTATGTGTATGTGTGTGACAAAGTTGCGCGTGTAAGATGGTGTGTGTGAAAGTGACGTGAGTGCGCGACAGTGCAGACATTTTTTTGCCAGCGCTGCAATGTCATCTGCTCTGCACGCGGCAGCACTGCGGACCTGGAATGGGCTGAATGAGGTGTTCCATGATCTTCTGTGCTCCATGTGGTGCAACGAGATGTGCTACGTGACAGCCGCGCCTGTCCTACAGCCACGAATCCGACGATGATGACATAGAGGAAAGGTACCTGGCCGCAAAAGTGTAGAACACGAATGCAGCTGGTTGTCAATGCAACTATGGAAGACAAGTACAGAGCGCATGCCTGTCAAGTCACGACACAGTCACAATGGCAAGCACTATGGTTATGACGCTAACTGTGCAGTTTTTCCAAACATGTCAACCAACCACGAATTTCAGAAAAACTGAGGCGTCATAGACATTCAAATAGGTGTCAGTTCGCGATGCATCTGCATACGCTTCTTCCCACATTGGGTCACAGGCTCGTTGACTCATTGTCGGGCCCTGCGACACGCGCCTGTCCTCCGTCCAAGAAGCTCACTGGGTCACTGGATGGGTACCTGAGCCAGTAGCAAACACACAGAGGCTTCATACGTGCTATCTTGTTACTACATGACAGCGGCAACCAATGAAATCGTATTAGTTCCACCATATTGGATATATTAAGCAATGAATTGCTGTGTAGGGTTCTCAGCTATCTTGTCACAATATGAACCTAACGAACCAATCATTCCTGGATTAGGTTCCATGGTCCGATGCAATAACTCAAAATTGATGAATATGCTGGATGGCTGATGCATTTATAACCTGGGCAGAAAACCATGACATTGAGCTCAAGATCTCTCCTGGACAAGTCCATATAAGAACGAGCGTTGTTGAGAGACGACATCAATTGCTACGGCGTGCTGTTCAAATATACATTAATAATAATGAGATCGCTGGAGTCGATGCCTTGCATGAAGCTCTCAATTAGGTGGTACCTTCCCTCAACGAGCACACCTTTGTGAACGGCTTTGCACCCACACAACTTGCGATAGGTCGACAGCCTGCCGTTCTTGGACTGATGTCTGAAGAGCGCACAGCCTCCGCAGCTGTCTAAAGGTCAACATGTTCAGGAAATCCTGAAGTGCCGATCTCAAGCTCAACAAGCATGTGCCAAAGCCGATGGTGATCTCAGATGCAAAGAGCCATTGGCCGAGATGCAGAGAACTGGTCGCTGGTGAAATGACATGCATTGACACTGCCAATGTTGACACTTGTTGGCTTGCTCAGATTAACCACACTAGATATCTTATTGATCAACGGTCTCGAATTAGGTTCCCTGCTTCTCGTTTCGCAGTGAAGCAACACACCACGGGGAATGTAAAATGGAAAGAAAGCACGGCACACAGACGCAGATGCAAAGGCATGACATTCTTGTTTGCAGGAGCCGAGCAACAGGCGGAACCGCCTTCCTGATCTCATCAATGAGCGACGGCTTACTTGTGGAGATCAACTTGATTGGAGCCAACCGAGAGAAAGGGAAGATGTGGCACGGTTCTTGGACGTACACGGTAGCCATAGCACCACCTGCTGCACACCGTGAATCAAGAGAGCAGTCGCAAAGATTGGCGTTTTCTCCCTTCGTGTAACACCAGAAGGCAACTGCCACCACCGTCCATCGCAAGGCATGGCGAGTCAGCTTCTGATGAAAGAATGCCGCTTGAGCCAGCCCGCGAACTTCGCGCAACTGCGACCCCAACGATGTGGAGGCGCACCATGTCGAAGGCATCAGCGGTGGCCTATGTCCACTGCTCCAGCGGAATCTCCGTCTGAACAGCGTTGCGAGAAGACGTCGTGACAGCCACGGGAGGAAGAATGTTTCTGTAATTATGATACATATTTTTCTGTACATATCATGAAATGGTTTGACGCAATGTGCGAAGAACCGTTGGATGCTGTAGCAAAAGTGGTTGAGTGCGTTTCTGAATGCTTCGGTTGTGCAGTGTTCTCAACGTTTGTTTGTCGGAAAAAATCAGCTGCTTACCAATTACATTACAGGTTCTTCTTGATCTCGCAACGTTGCCAAGTGTGAAACAGATGTACAGCTTCGGTTCGTTTTTGGCACTGAAATTGATATGATTGGAGACGGAGTTGGGGTCTCCCTTATCGGTAATTGGAAAAGAACATCTGAGCGGACTCTGAGAGGACTCTGAGCGCCGTGGTAGAGACGCGTCCCTCTTGTTGCCTGCTTGTCTTGGTCATGACAATCTTTCCCTTTCTGTTCTGTTGATGAAAGAGGTCCCATGTTTCCAAAGGCTGCAATCGAGACGCCCCGAGGTCCGGCGAAGAAGCGCCCTGATGAAACTTCAGGTTGGCATTAGTGCAATGATGCATGTTTTATTGTTGGACCCCTTCACCAACGAATTTGATGACGTTTCTCCTGGACGACTTCTTCGACAAGTCGCTCAGTTATATGCTGGCAGTCTGGCCCTGCCAGCTTTTTCTTTGTCTGGGCCCGTGGTGCCGTCCGGTCTTATCACGGCACTGCTCAGAGTAACTGACTGACCACCAGGAACTGATGACAGAGCAACGCGCGTCCTTGGATTCCTGTAACCTCCCACAGACTGTACACCCATACTTTGTGGCAACTGAACCTTTGAAGCTCACCAACCTCAAAGCACGCCTGAGAGGACTCTGAGGTGGCTGCCGTAGTGTACAGTAGCTTTTAGCAATTTTGTTGCTGCTTTTCACAGTTGCACAGCTTTTCACCCCTTTTTGTTTGGGCCATAGACTTGCTAATTCGTTTTGTGCATATTTCGGAGACACGGTGGGCTTATCCCCATCGTGTCGGAGGCAATCCTGGTGAGGCAATCCTGGTGATTTTGGTGTGGTGCGGAAGGCTACAGGCCTTCGAAACCTCTACTTGGGTCAGCGTCCAGGACGTCGTCCTTAACAAACTAAGACCGTCCACGCAACCAAGTCAACGACTCCCAGAGCTCAGCCACTTTTACCACAACACACAAGAGAAATGTCTGCTCATGTCGCTATGGTTCTTGTTGGTGTGTCACGCCTTGACACAAAATGATGCGGAGTCGCCAGTTAGCATCTTTCTGCCAACTTCACAA